TATGTCGGTGCCCTGGGCGGGTATAGTGAGAAACAGGGACCTTTTTCTGCCTTCCATTCTTACCGTTAGCTCAGTAAAACTACAAACCTAGGTGTTACCAGCTTTGGAGCGGACTCTTGTCTAAAATATGCAGCCAGCTTCATAAAAATGCAGTTACTTAGAAGAACTCAGCTGTAAGGAAGATTCACTAAAAGAGAATCAGTTCTGTTTTAACCAAAACCAGGACACAGTTCTACTACACTTGCATCAGTGTTGAACACAGCTTAGAAAACAGGCAGTGGAATTCGACCCAAACAGAACTTCTCTAAGTATTTTTACTGTATATAGGCCTTGCTATTCTAATTAATCTTATATTTTAAATTAATACATTACTTTCTAATACTTCATGTTTCAAGAAATAACAGAATAATTGCTTACAATAAAATGTCTAGAGAGTCTTATTTAACTTTCAAATACATATGATAATCTCCTTGACTATTAAATGAACAGGTATATGAATACAGTCTTACAGGCCCCCCTGACAATACTTGGAATTTGCATGAACTTGTAAATGGAGGATTAACAAATCTGCAAAAGACTAAGGAAGTCGGAACAGGAAATTTTCCTTCACATAATTCTTAAATTTTGATAGTGAAAACAAAAATGTTAATATTTATCTCCTTTATGCATAATTTGTATTATTCGCATCAAATCTTAGATAATAAACTGTTTGGAAGAAAGTCCTTGTATCAAATCACAGTTAGTGCAACAGTAAACCAGTTCTGGCTGATGATTTTTTGCCCTGCTGGAAGGGCAAATAACCACTTCGGTTGAGATCCTACACCAAGCTAAGATCCCAAACCAGACACAAACTTGAAAAACTCTTCCATTTTCATTATTATTTTATTTGGTAGACTACCAGTGGTCCCTCTATGTGACAAAAAAGGCTTCCTTTTGAATCAGGGATCCTTACTGAAACACAAACCATAGATGTAGGTTACTGAATACAGTTGATCTACATCTGGTGGATGGGCAAATCCATTCAACAAGATCTTGTTGGGCAGCCAGTAAAACATGTCAGCAGCTTTTCTTTTCATACAACACAGATCCAAATGCTAAAGGGCAAATCATCTGAAGTCTGAAATAAGACAACTGGGGTTATTTCTGATGCAAAGCTGAATAATAAACTCTGACTTTACTACTCTGAACGAGAGAAGAAAACTGAAAGTGATGGAAAAGAATATAGAATCATAGAACGCTTTGGGCTGGGACATTTAGAGGTTATCTAGCCCAACCCCCCTGCAGTGAGCAGGGACTTCTTCAACTAGACCAGATCGCTCAGAGCCCCATCCAACCTGGCCTTGAATGTTTCCAGGGATGGGGCCTCCACTGCCTCTCTGGGCAACCTGTGCCAGTGTTTCACCACCCTCATGGTAAAAAATTTCTCCCTTATATCTGATCTAAATCTACCCTCCCTTAGTTTAAAGCCACTACTCCTTGTTCTGTCACAACAGGCCTTGCTAAAAAGGTTGTCCCCATCTTTCCTATAGGCGCCCTCTAAGTACTGAAAGGCTGCTACAGAATCTCCCTGCAGCCTTCTCTTCTCCAGGCTGAACAACCCCAACTCTCTCAGCCTGTCCTCACAGGAGAGGTGCTCCAGCCCTTTGATCATTTTTGTGGCCCTCCTCTGGACCAACTCTATCAGGTCCATGTCCTTCTTGTTCTGGAGCTGGAGTCAGGACTCCAGGTGAGGTCTCACCAGAATATACAGTTGACAAATTCTCAAGGACAGTGCTGTATCCGAGTAGGTTTTGGAATATTCTACTTTCAGGACGTTGGTTTTAATCCAGCAGAAGTGCAGAAGATCACTGTCAGAATATTTCTGATAGCCTTTATAAAAGTGAAATAGAGATTTTAATCTAGTTCTCACATGAAGCACTTCATTGTCACGTCAATAAACTGAGGACTGCATAGACATAGGGACTGAACTGACAGGGTCCCACACGAATGAACCAAGGTACTTCTAAAGGACAGTTTACAGGAGGCAGGAGGACACTAGTATTCCTGTGACCCATGCTACACCTGCCCTGTATATGAGGAAGAATTTACTGCAATATCTCCTATCGATCATCAGTGTTGACCTTTTATTTTTCACTGATTGAAAGCTAAACAGTTTCCTGTCCTCCCGTCAGTAATCAGGTTAACTGCTACTCACCTCTAGGTGCAAACTTTCATGTCCATGCCAATCCTATAACCATCCCACAGCAGACTACCAAAGCCTTTCTTATGGGTAGCACCAAGTTGTTCCCCACTCTCCAGCTACCTCTCTAACGTTTGAAGTGATGACAAAAATAGGAACTTAGGAGGCAAGAAAACGTAGTAACTATGAATTCACTGCAGTCTACTTTTTGTGTTAAAAGAATTATCAACATTTTGTAGCACATAAAATATTTACCTTAACTATAAACCCAGAGTGGCATACAATGTTGGAAATGCACTTTCACAACTTATCTACACTGCAGAACACATACAAAAGCAAAATACTGTCAATATTGAAACTGAAGTTGAACAAGTATACTTCTTTAGGAGCATTACCTCACATGCTTCTGAATCATGAAAAACGTAACAAAACCAAACCAGAAAGGTGCACTGAGGGATGATTAGTAGCTGGTAAGCAACTGAGAACAGCAATGTCAAAGCTGCAGAAATGGACTGATGAGGCAGGTAAGGCTGACAAACTTACTCTGAAGCTGTGGCTGAGGCTGCTGGAAGGAAAGGGGCTGTCCGAACACAAATGGACTGTGGACTAGGGAAGAGGGAGGTTTTGCAGCTTGATCAAAGATGGAAGGAGCTGGGAGATTTGGCCGTGACTGAATGGAATTCAGTATGGCACTCAGTTGGTCACCTGTAGCGGGCAAAACAGTCAAAACTAACAACCTGTTATTTGTCATTCTCCAGAAAGGCAGAGTAAAATGGTGCTCAATTAAAATTTAAATAATGATGATAATAGAGAAAGCTCATAAATCTTATTTAGCCACATAAAACTGTGGTTGTGGCTAAACACAAAAATCTCACCCCATGCATGGCAATACAATTACTGAAAAGTACAAACAGGGTTTTTAAGGCTCGTGGATATTTTACTGCAATTATTTAAAACATTTTCAAAATAGAGACTTCTATTTGCCTTGCTAAAAAATGAAGAGCAGCCATAGAAAAAACAGAAATTCCTAGCATTTACAATAATACACACATGCAACAGAACATGCAGAAAAAGATTAGAAAAACTGATGAGAAGGGAAAGACAACATGTAATTAGGCTTTGGCAAGGGTATTTCTGTGCCAAGGCTTTGGCAAATATTTGCTCATTTTTGCAAATATCTGTAAAACTATTCTGTCATGCTGTTTTTCAAGATCAGACTGATGATAATTTTAAAAATGTTAAGCACCACTTAGGAACTGGGACTGGTTTTCTGAAGAACTACATTTATTTGTTGTGAGGCAAATGAAGGCCTTCAGAAAACTAGCATGTTAAAAATAGAATTTTTATTTCTGAATGCCCATTCTCAAAAAAATCTATGTGAGCATTAGAAATACATGAACCCTACAGTGAGAAAGCAGAGCTTATCACACCACGTTATAACCTGAAGTATACTTAGTAACTTAAGCTGGGAGACACCAAGAGTTTGAGAGCATCTCAGATCTGAACCATCACCAAGGAAATCCTCACAGCATTACTTTACTCTGCAAATTCATACAATTTTGACAGTATTCTAGAAATCACAGTAAAAAAATTAGCAGCTAATACAAAATTTACAACTCAATGAATTTACAACATTTTTGGGTGATCATAAATTGTCTTTTCATGGAATTAGATAAACACCAGTGGGTGAACAGAACTCTCTAAGAATTCCAAAACTAAATTTTGCACTTATGTTCTTGATATTTTGGTTTTAAAACAAAACTACCAGAAAACAGATGGAACAGATTTCTAAATAATCATCTACAGGTATCAAGAAATCAATTCTATTTCACTGTTTTGGAAGTAGTAAACCTAAAAAAATACTGGAATCAGTACTTGGGCAGCAATCATTCCTACCTTAATAACCCAGAAGTGATTGACAAGTTTGACAAAACATTGTTATACTTAAATACAATGGGCCTATTTCCTAAAATGAGTAATTGTTTCAAAGGGAAGAACATCTGAGAAGAGACTGAAAGTCATCTGCCCACATAATTATTAAATATGGAGGTGTGTAAGGCCATTCACGAGGAATATGAGACTTGCCTGCAATATAGAAGGCTGGAATAGAGAAGACATAGCTAAATCAAACAGAATGATTGTGGGAGTTACGTATTCTGCCTCGCAGGTAATACTGTAAACACAGGCCTATTACATGGGGATCTTTACATCTGACCAGCAGTTCAAAACGCTCACAGATGGCTACTGAATTTTCATTGGAATTAGTGCATCCTTACAGAAGTTCTTTTAACAAACAAGCAACTCCAGAAGAACTGCTTCATTCAGAAATTCCTCTAACAGATCGTGCTTGTGCCTGTAGTTTGTTTTCTACAAAACTCAAAGATTCTTAGACCTGAGAATGCAAAAAGACTGCATAGAAAGTAATGACACAGCTGAAGAGTTCTATTTTTGAGAAATTAATATCATTGTTCCTTCAATATAGTCACTGACAACTCTCTGCTCTTGGGCAATTGAGAAGGAATTACAGTACGCGGAATGAAAAAAGTAATCTAACCAAGTTGCTCACTCACAATAAACCTCACAGCTTGAGGGTATGTTGAGATTCATGCGTATTAAATGACAAAGTTCAATGCCAGGAGTAGCTTCTGAGCTGTCTGTAACTAATATCCCAAAGAAATACCTCAGAAACTGTTTAAGATAGGATGTAGTAAAAAGAATCACAATGACTTTAGAAACTAGGATGCCTGTTAATACAGCATACTGATCTCCAAGATATTATCTTTGGACAACACAGGAAAAAAATTATTTTCCTAATACACTTCTGCAGAAAAAGAATAGATAATACTTTTGCAGTGTTACAGAGTTGACGTTGAGAGACAAGCAGTAATACTGACTCACACGATGAACATCTTAAACACTCCCACTTTTGTGATTCAACTATTACTTTGAAATGAGTATGGCTGAACTGAGAAAAGCAGTTCTGTATAAAAAGCTCAATAAAACAAAAGGAAAACATTCCAATTTCTCCAGCCTTTGTTCAAAAAAAGGGTTTCCTACAGCAATGCATGGACAAGTATGAACTGCTTCTTTACGCAGTAAAACACTGTGAAATGACATAACATGTTACGAAAATAACAGGCTAGAACATTTAGGAATAATTTTTCCCCTCATTTCTTCTCCTTCAAAACAAGTCTTAAAGCAAGTTATTTTAATTAGGAGATCACTAAGAATACATGTTGGTGTTAAAAACACATAACACACCTTAGGCCCATGCTCATAGTGGCATGGACAGAGTATTGAGATGTGAAAGTAGAATAACAAAGGCCTATGTTTCAAATAGTATTTCACAAGTACATCTGCCTCATCAAAAGTCCCTTCTATATTATTAAATCTTCTACATTTAATCAATGAATGAACAGAAGGCATGCAGTTTGACTTTATTGTGATGGTTTACATATCTTTATATCTTGCCAATGCAATAAACCATGACTAAAAGAAACAATTATTTCTATCAGTAAAATTAACAAAGTTTTATTTATTTATTTCCTAGCATTTGTAACTGGTATCTATGTGATTGAAAGGTAACTTCAGTTTTACAACTTAAATCTCAAATGGTATCTTTTATCTTGTCATCCCATTAAAGGCACTTAAAAAATGTCAAGACAAGTGAGAAGTGTTTACAGACATTTCTGACCATTTTGAAACCCATGCTTTCCAAATCCAATAATTTCCATATCTTGTTTTACAAGTACCTATTTTTCATTTCTGCATTACAGTTTTGTGTCTACCACTATAGAAAGTCTCAACTGTAACTTAGAAATCTTTGATGATCCTTTTTATACAGAGTACTTAGATTGTGCAAAATTAAAGCAGAGCAAAAAGCAGTTACAACATTAACTACATGTTTTCTAAAACACCTTGCAATTCACTACACTCCTGCTTGTGCCTTTTGGAGAACATCAGATAGTGCCCAATAGAGCAGAAAATGAGTAACAAAAACATAACCAAAGTTAAGACAAACACCATTTTTCAAAACGCAAGTGTAAAAACATACCTTTGTTATTTCCAAGGCCATAATCAAACCCTTGTCCATTACCGCAGCTTGTCCCCTTACTGAAAGCTTGTATTGAAAAAGGACTTGGGGGAGGAGTCTGAACATTCTGATCTAGCAGGACTTGCTCTGTAAAAAAAACCACATCACTTCAAAATTAGACCATCTTAGAAATTGATTTACATTGGAAAGCGAGTCACAAGGCAAAGGAGCACTATTTTTGTTCCACAGATAGTACTCTACCACTCTACTCAATTCTCTTCAGATAGAAAAGCATATTGTTCTTCTTTGGAGCTCATGCTCTAAAATAAAGACGTAAGACAATACCATACAGACTGTTTTACTCTTGACCGAGTTGCTGCCAGCTTTGCCATCGTATGCCACTTAGGAACAGACTTGATGCTTCGTTTTTCAGTAACATCACACCATTCAGTATTTATTCTTTGGACAGCAATTGTTAAATTCATTTGAAAAAGCAGGGTGGAGAAAAAGATTTCAGAGTGACAAACTCAGATCCAATAAACTCCTACACCTGGCTATCACCTTAACAGTTCATGGGACATAAGACATTTTTTCCCCTGACAGATTTATTCATATCTGACACTGATTATGACAGACTATTTAATTTTAGGGGGGCATTACTGACTTAATGTGGCCAGAAATAGCATTTCAGGTGACGATCTATAAGAAATAATCCACCTGAAATCTTCCAAATGTAGGTTAAAAGCTCAGATTGACATATTCCACAACTTGCTTTTTTTTCTGTAAATGTAGTAAAAATAATGTGGATCCAATTAAAAACAAATCACAACTCTTCTAAGAGCCATTTTCAGAAAATTACATTTCAGGCCAAAACTCCATTTCAGAACATAAAATTTTATGTCACACACACACTCAAATTAAAAAAAAATACAGGTAGACGGTTGGAAATTTAAAAATAGTTTAAAAAAGAAAGGATCTAGAATTTCCTCATTAGAGGCATCTCTAGACTTTGCTGTAGTGTTTCAGCTAAAGTATCTGGATATCGGCTTGCAGACTTGGGCATTCAGTAGGACTTTTGCTCTGTCTCTGACATAAATCCTACTTCTTTGAGAATTTCATGATCCTTTTATTAAATAATGAAAATACAAAAGCAATCTGAAAGATGGTATTATGTAAGGACAAGAATACAGACCAGTTTCAAATCTAGCTGGAGCTCTCCAAATCCTAATTATTTCCCTCCAGCGAAAGCACTGAAACTGATGACAAAGACTATTCCTAATTAATTTCATGGCAAATAAAAGCAATTAGCTTAAATAATTTTCAGATGTGGCTTAAGTGCATTAGTGTTACTTGGTACCGAGATGGACTAGGAACATAGAGTAGGTTTAAGTATCTCAGTCATTGCACTGATAACTACTTAAACTGCTTTAGCTAGATGAACGAGAGACGTCTAACAATACCCTACTTATAAAAACATAGACTCATTCAGAAAAGAATAAACCCAGGCACAGTCAGGCATAGGACTCGCCTCAGTTTCTAAGATGGTATTCCTATGCACTGGATTGTAAAAATCCTGCTACAGTTTTGTCCTCAAAGCCCAGAGCTTGCATTTCTGTTTTTCTGTGAGAACAACGATATACTTTAAGATGTCTTTCAGTAACAGTACATATGTGTCAAGAATCTGAAGACAGACCTTCAAACACAGGTCTTGTTTAAATTCTTCCAAATTTGGGAATTCTTTCTTAAAGCACAGATATACCTTGAGAAATTACAGAAAAGGTGAATTGACAGATAAATCACTGAAGCTGTAAAAAACTACTTAAAATACGCAAAATACTGTTAAGTGACTTAAAGTACGTTATATCTATTCCTCAAAGTAAGTACTCTTGAATGGAAATTTTTGCACACTGCTTCATTTATTAACTTCAGAGAAATTTTTTTTCTACTGGAAAAGCACACAGCCTCATATTAGCATATAAAATGATGACGTTAACAACCCTTTTCTTGCACACGCGTGCTTTCAACAGTAAGGCATTATTCCAATTCACAAATACTTCTTTTATAGAATCTACTTGGGCTCTTTGAGCACCTCCAAACTTGACATTATTAGACATAAGTAAAAACAGAGAATCTATGACTTCAAAAAAGATACCATGCTAAGTATTAAGTAAACACTTTCTCCCCCCCCCCAATTTATAAACTTTATGAAAGACTCTTGGTTATTCCCCTTCTTCACAGAATGTTTTATACCTTCAAGTCAAGCAGCAACAGACTATAGCAAATATGTATTAGCAAGGACTTACTTTGTTTTAATAAGGTAATTTGATAATTATCAGAGTATCTAGGTGTGAAATAATATTCAGCACAAAACATCAAAACCAGAAAAAGGGCAAAGAGTCTACTATAATGAACAAATAAGAGGCTGACCATAAGTACTACCTAAACCCACAAGCAGAATATGACTGCTGAGGCTGAAGTTTTCCACTAAGACATCTTTTGATCTTTTGGTAAATGGATGCATTAGATCCCACAAATAGAGTGGGAAGATGATAAATTGAAAATGTCCAGATTTATTCAGAAAACAGAGAAATATATGTTGAAGGAAAAAGAAAGGCTTGAAGAAACTAACTCTTTCAAGTGAGTTGAAACAAATCAGTCTCTAGGGAACCATGCCAAAATTTTACTACCAATGGAAGAACTTTAGATGTTTCTCTCTGAATACCTGTAACAAAATCATGCTAATGAAGTTCCATAGTAATTTTTACTAGACATTGGAAAGACAAGAAGGACACACTGGACAGCTGGGGTGTTGCGTCCAGTTTCAGACTCCCATCAGAAGACAAACTGAAATGAGTTCAGTGAAGGCCACTAAGACAGTCAGGGAAGCAGAGCACACCATCTCAGGAGAGGCTGAAATGAGAGATCAGCCAACCCAGCTCAGTTGGGTTTGTTCAGTCTTAAAAAGAGAAAGCTAAGCTGAGATCTTATTGCTCCTTTCAACTACCTAATTGAAGGGTTCATGGAAGATGAAGGCAGACTCATCTCAGAGGTTCACAGTGACAGGACAAGAGACAATAAACAAAAGTTGCAGCATGGGAAACTGTGATTATGTATCAGGAAAATTTTTCACCATGAAGATGAGTCAAATACTGGAACAGGTTGTCCAGAGAGGCTGGATATATTTCGAATTTGACTAGACAAGGGCCTGAGCAACCTGATCTAGCTGAATCTGCACTGACAGGGAGGTTGGACAGATGACCCCCTCCAGAAGTATAAATACTGACAGACCACTCCCTGTCTCACCTTTTAAGGGAATATAAGCAGCCTATAACCTTGCACAGGAGAACTCATCCAGATGGGACGGGACTATCTGTTAAGGAAATAACAGTTTCAGAATAACTCACGGTATTTCTATGAAGCATTCAGGATGAAAGAAATATATTTCAGATCAGTAATGATAGCTTGTTTGGACGGAGATCAACAAGAAGGATGATGGGGGGGGCAATAAAAAAACTGTGTACTAACATTTTGTTTATGTTTTCTTTAATTATTTCTAGGTCTTACCTACTCTGAACATGAACTATCAGGACAGAAATTCTGCATTTTAACAGAATGCAATCATACTTTGCTGACTAGAATAATTAACTAATTTGATGTTAATTTCAAATAGTATCAAAAAAACATGCTAGAAGGTTTTTAACAGGATGCTGTGGGACAGAACTAACAAACTTAAAATCAAAAGGAACATAAGTAACACCTTCTCTCTGCTTTTCAGAGACGCAAAATAGACCAAAGAAAGCTAACTAAAATGTACAATTACTTATTTAAAAATGATCCCCATAGCTAAAAGGATGGTTAAAATTATGATCCATAACTGATACACAAGAAAACATGAGGAAATATTTTAACTGTTCTTTTAAAAATCATTTAAATAATGTTTATAGACAACTTTGAAGTCTAAGTGTGTAAAGTAACTCAAGTGAAAACGTGTAAATTAACGTTATAGCTGTTTAAAACTCAGTTCCTTCTTTATTTATTTGTCCTGTTTAGATTGCTTAATTTTTGATAAGTTAATTTAAAAAACAAAACAACTTGCCATCTTCGTGTCGAAGGTACTGGTTCCCACCTCTGTCTCTAGCTAATGACCATGCCTCGCCTTCATCACTTTCACAGAACTCCACCATGCTGTTCTTATCCATTTGCACCCATGTACCTTCCGAATTAGTCACCTGATGCACACACATAAAAAACCACAATTTATTGACTTTTCAGACAATTCAGTAGCATGATTGAGCAACTTCTTAAGAGTAGTTGAAAAAACACACTCATTGCAATCTTTATGTTAAAAAGCAAATGTTAAAAAAAAAAAGTTTCTTAAATTAAGGCCACAGGCTGAGGCAGACTGAAGGACCAAAACATTTTATGGCATATTTACAGTTACGAATATTTAAAAAAATCTTAGACCTGTTTATGTTCAAAAGAGCAAAACACCAACACCACAACTTCAGAACATCCAAACAAGCCTAAATAAAAACTTGGGAGATATTCACCAAAATATGCCTTTTTATTGGTGGCTGCAACAGTACAATTATAATACCAAGTTCTATATGAAAAGTTTGTACAACTACTAATTTTGTTCCTGACATTATATTTAGGAAATAGCATGACACACTTCATCCTTAAGCCCTTCTTAACCATAGAACACCACAACTGGACAACTGGGAACAGTAGCAACAGTTCAGCAACTGAAAAAATGAATACAGTCAATACAAAGAAACAGAATAATTTGTTAATTGGTTAGGTCCTAGAAGAACATTTTTTCAATTAAGCAAAATTCTTTCAAAGAATATGACCAAAAAGTAGAATACGAAACATCATTTTGTAAGGAATACTATAACAGAAATATGTAAGTAAGCATATGTAGCTACAGTACAATTTTAACATTATTTCAAACATTATTTCAATCAATGCACACATCTAAAAGGAAAAAGACATAATTGCATCAGTATTTATAATAATAAACCAAGTTCAACAGTTAGTATTTATCATGAGGGTTGGAAAAGCAAACCTGTACAGGAGTAGATTCTTTTGCTGAGTTTACAACTGTTATATACTGGTATCTATGAAGACATGAACTGAAGCTACAAGGATCCATACCTCGCCCACTGCCTTGACTTTGTTTCCCAGAACTAACATTCCAATTGGGATACCTCTAAGGTTAGGGCAGCTTCTGATGTTGTGACCTGATGGGCCAGTCTTCACTACCTTGTACACTCCAGGTCCACCTCGAAGGAATGGCATATCTTGCTCTTGCATCACTGCTTCCTGTGGGCAGTGTGAATTTAGGTCTTTGAAAAAACCATCAGTATTAGACCTAGATTCCTGAGAAATTAAAAAAAAGGCAAAACAAAACAGAATAAAACCTATTAATAATACCTTTGAACTCTTTAGATAAGAAATACTTACTTCAAGATTACAACAGCTAAACTTCAGAGCTAAAAGAGATACTAGTTACATTGCTAATTTTAGTGTGCGATAAACAACTACTAGTAAATTGAACATGAAGTCGTTTTATTACTCTTGAAATAAAAGTGGTATAAATGTAAACCATTTATATAAAAGGAGTATCTAATATCTATAATTAGAGAGAAATTATTTACTCTAACCACTTTCACTAAACTTTGTTCCATTGTGATATTTATCAAGATACACACTCATTCTTCCTGCTGTATTTGTGAAATTTTGTGGAAAAACTCTGGGGCTATGTAAAGGGAATGTGAATATTATCTCTTTCCAAATGCTATGCTGCTTTTTTGATTTCACATTTAGAATACATTGTTAATTTAGAGTAAAGGTAAAATGATGACCAAGAGTAACAGCAACACCATAGATTCTTAAATGCACATATACATATTAGTGTATATTTATTATTTTCACTATGACAATAAAAATGGCCTGCAAATTTATGTCACCTGGTACCAATTACAGATGAAATATATACTCAAATCTGAAATGAGAAAATACTTTTTGAGTTTCTTACCAAGAAAAATTGACAGTTACTAAAAGAAGAAAAATACTAGCATAGATTTTTCAGCCATCCATAGCTTAATAAAAGGCCATTGTACAGGAAATTCTGAGGGACTGGAGTAAAATAACGCAACGCACATTTATATCAGAAGAAAGCAAGCCAGAAGCAGAAGCAAGCTCTATTGTGCTTATAATGCAAGTCACAGGTGCTTTTAAAAGAACATCTGAAAGTTAAGAACTAAGTAATGCCCTACGGGATAAAGTCAGTGGTTCACCTAGTCCAGTACACTGTGTTCAGCAATGGCAACAGGAGATGCCATTTAGAAGCAGCATATAAGTCTTTATTAGTGGTCTGTCCCTTACATACCAGCAGCATTTAAAATCTTTTTATTATGGATGTTGGAGGCTACGCCCAATTTTCTTTAGTGTTTATTTATGAATCTGATTTCTGTAAATTTGTTTAATTTCCTCTGAATGTGCTGATACTTTCTGCCTCCACAATCTCCTGTAACAACACCTTCCAGGAGGCTCACTTCCTGCTGTGTAAAAGAACATTTCCTTTTATCAGTTTTAAACAAAAATTCTGCTTATGTTATTTACTTTTTAATCAATGCAGTTTCCTCTGATCTCATTAATTATAATATTTTCAGCTTTTTGGTAGGGAAGTCTGTGCTCTTATGTCCAGACTAATACAGCAGTCTTTCCAAGAAGCCTTTATACAAAAATGAATCTGTTCTGTAAACATATAACTTTCAAAGCAAGTAAAGGCAAGCTGAGATAAACTGGTTGGGGGGGGGGGGGGAGGGGAAAAATCTGTGTTTTAAAGACAGTTTAAACATTGTCTAGATCTTGATATAACAACAAAGTTGTTTGCTATTTTGGGAAAAAAGATTCAGTGGAAAAACAATTTTTTAAGTCTCTAAACCAATATGTACTACACTGAGTGTCATCTTCATTACAAAGGTCATCTAAAAAAAACTTGATCTGAAAATCACTACAGGGCTGCGAAGAGATTTAGACAAGCACTTCTGCAGATAATTTAAACCGCTTAACTGTACACAACATAACTTGTTCCTATAATCGCATAATTTTAAAAAAGATTAAGAATATGCTGAGTATTAAATACTTTGGCTTTACTCATACAAATATCTTATTAGATGCTGCAACTTTACATGTACCCTCCAGTAACAGAAAAAAATTTACTAGTACATTCTGCATCAAAACTAGAATGAAAGCCTTTATTATGTTACTAGGCCATCTCTCTGAATTTCTTATCTGGTTTGTTAAAAAAGGAGTGTGTTACTCATGAATTAATGAAAATTCAATAATCTGCCCTGGTATTTTTTTCTCATCCTAAAGGGAGACACACAGATACAGCATTCTATGCAAACCTGCTATTTCATGTAAAAATAACTCCAAGTAAAACAGACTTCATTTGGTGTAAAGTTGAGTCATAAGGTACAATCTGAAAACACAAGACACAGCGTGACTGTTCCTGTCATTTAACTCACCTTAGGGGGTAAAGCTTTGGAAGTCCATGAAAAAAAGTCCAAATCACTTACTCCTTGGCTAGCATTAAAGACATTCTGAGCAACAAAGTTTAGGAAAAAAAAAAGACACATATCAACAAAGAAATGGGAACAAAGAAACACTGGAGGAAGAAGCTTGAGGTACTATAGTGCAAACTTTCTCCACAAGTAAATTTACTGGTAGAATGTTTTGCAAAAGGGGAAAGTTTTGTTTTGCTAATCAAGTCACCTGAGTCCATTGCTCATCATGGCAAATCATCCATTAAACAAAAACAGTTTAGTATGTCAAAAGCTCAAAATGGATGTAGTGTGTCATGCCATTTACTGAAATTAAGAGCCAGACATTTCTTGTAAATCTGGAGACTTCATGCACAAACCCCCCTCACATCTCTGTTACAATGAAACAGTAGTTGGTCCCACCACAAACCACAGCTTTATAGCAAAACAGTCTGCTGTTCTGAAAGATAATTTCAATTATAGCAGAACAACTGCACACAGACTTCTAGTCACCAAGTCAGAACTGAAAATATGCAGAAGGGCTAAGCTCACTATTGCTGGAAGCAATTCACTTGCACAAAATCATTTCACCAGCTTGCACATCAAAATTGCACTCTTCACCAGAGCCAAAAATTTCAGAGTGCCATAAGAAAGATCACTAAGATTTCATTCATTTGGTAAAATATACAATGCATAATAGTTTATTATCAATCATCATAAACCAAATGGAGCTGCCAGAGAGAGTTCACTAATTTTATAACCAACTGCCTGTACTATGGAAATGAGCACTGCTGTTCTGTGTACTTTTTCTTCCCACAGAACAGCTAGGATGGCATTTTTTAATCACTGGAAAACATGAAAAAGAAGCCATCTGTTCTCCATAAACTGATTTCTACTCATTTCAAAGAAATTTTCACTGTTCCTGTCAAATCAAAGAATTAATAGTACATAGATAGTAGTATTAATAATCAGTATTTATGACAGAATCCTTTTTGTAAAGCCACCATTTTATCTGTATGAACAGAGGCATCAAAATCTTACTTCCTACCCCCATCCTGATAGGGGAACCAAATGAAATCCCCGGACAGCAGTCACATTAAAATTTAACAGTAGTTAAAGAAAAGGCAATGAATCCCTTTAAGCAGAAAATAAGCACAAAACCCTCCTGGCATACCTCCTCTGTATTCCTTGAAAAAAGACTAAATCCACGCGTCTATCTCATGATAGAAACAAATCATCTAGCTACATATTGTTTGCAGAAGTTCTGCTTACATCAAGTTTCAGTAATAAACACAATTTGCAATTTTGACAAAAACAGGGAAATTGTGAACCACCACTATTTCTTTACAGTTTAAGTACCTCTACCTAAAACTGAAAGAGGTACCAATGCACTGGTGAGATATGTTTTGGGGCACTGGGGAAGGTGGGGAGGGTGTTAGATAGGAAGACTAGCAGAGCAGAGTCTTATCAATTTGACATAAAACTATGACAACTATAAAAAGCCTACATTTGCCTAAAGATAGTGTACTTCATAGGCATCCAATGTAGTTTAACAGATTAATTGTATCACTTTGCAGCATATCTCATACTTTGTGATGGACTTCTATTGTACAGAGAAACATGGACTATCCATACCTAAAATATTAAAGTATATTTCAAAGATTATTTTTGTATGTTATAAATCTGAGAAGGCTCTTGGGAGACCTTGTAGCATCTTTCCAGTATCTGAAGGGGGGCCTACAAGAATGCTGGAGAGGGACTTTTGAGAAGGGCATGTAGCGATCGGACAAGGCGTAAAGGCTTTAAACTAAAAGAGAGTAGATTTAGATCAGATATAAGAAAGAAATTATTTACTATGAAGGTGGTGAAACACTGGAACAGGTTGCCCAGAGAAGCTGTGGATGCCCCCTCCCTGGTAGTGTTCAAGGCCAGGCTGGACGCAGCTTTGAGCAACCTGGTCTAGTGGAAGGTGTCCCTGCCCATGGCAGAGGGGTTGGAACTAGATGATCCGTAAGATCTCTTCCAACCCAAACCATTCTATGATTCTACAACAAAACATACAAGAGAAACCAACAGCAGTGAAGTGGGACCACGACAGATTAGCAACACTGAAAAAAATCACACTAGAAGGAAGCTCTCCTTTGCTCTGGGAGCTTTAGAGTTTCCTGGCTATTACCACACTGTATGCCAGTTTACATGAATAGATCAGGCATGTATTTCAGAACAAAGTTTTCATTCTGAAGCTTTGTATTTAGTCCTTATGTTACCATCTGTAGATTTAGTTTATTTTTCCTTTCAACCTTTCCCTTCCAAAAACTAAAAATAATTTCACGAATTCATATTTTTTTTCCAACAAAGTTTCAATTTCAGAAACAAAAAATTTAAATGTAAATTACTTTGTTCGGCCACCAAAAGTTAGCAGACCATTAAGAAGTGTTTAAAATCTCAACTAATAGTATGTTTCAAAGCTAAGACTTATCTTAAACAAAAATCTTGACATTTTACCGAACATGGTCTTACTCTCCTTTCCATCACGCCTAAATAGATGGTAGAAATCTTTTGTGAATGTCCTTCAGTGTTTCCACAGAACATTCAGCTTTCTGAGGTTCTGTTATCAAACACTGCAGTCTACATACTAATTTTGGTTCTTTCTTCCACTGCAATCGTCATTTGAAAAACTCGCGGTTTCTCAATCCTGTTTGACTATGGTAGCTGGGGAATGTAATAGTAAAACTAGGCAGCAGGGCACAATATTGCCTTTGAAGTTTGCTGTTTAAAATGAAGTAACAAAAACATATTCCGCATATGATTTTAAAATAAGACAAGTTCCAGACCTTAACCAAGATAGAATTCTGTTTCTCCCTAGTGTGTACTGTTTTATGCTGCATGTACCTTTCTGCTAAGTACTATGCATAAGCATGCATGCATATCCGTCCCTGTGGGTAACGCCCTCTATCAGAACTTCACAAGTTTTTTTTTTCGAAAACAGTCAACTGAATCAGAATTATTCAGTTTAGAAAAGACGTTTAAGATCATCAAGTCCAACTGTTAACCTAGCACCGCCAATTCCACACCATGTCTTCCGAATACCTCCAGGATGGTGACTCCACCATTTCCCTGGGCAGCCTGTTCCAATACTGCCAACCCTTTTGGTGAAGACATTTTTCCTAATATTCAATCTAAACCTCCCCTGACGCAACTTCAGGCTGTTTCCTCTTGTCCTGTTGCTAGTTACTTGGTAGAAGAGACTGACATCCACCTCGCTACAACCTCCTTTCAGGTAGCTGTAGAGATCAACAAGGTCTCCCCTCAGTCTCCTCTTCTCCAGGCTAAACAATCCCAGTTCCGTCAGCCGCTCCTCGTGTCGCAAGACAGAAGGAAAAATAACTACCAGAGAAGGAAGCAGCTTATAGAAAATCGCAAGCTCTTAAGACTCATACTCTTGTACAAAATCATAGTCTCATATTGCCTACAACGGATTGGAATGTCAATTTTAGATCAATGGTTACATAGCAACTCCTCATGAAAGGATACGACTATACAGCTTTTCTTAAGAAGGTAAATGACAACTCAAAATAGTTTGGCAACTACAATGGACCTCTGCTTGCCTATGATCATTTCTCATTAAATGCAATAGCTTTGATCAAAATATACAGAAACAGTGTCTTGAGGAGATCTAAGATACTCAATATTTGCTTTATCTTAAAATATATGGCTAATGTCTACAAAGAAACATAAAGTGTAAATACAATATGTATGCCAAGAGGACAAGAGGCTGAAATTAACACTGCTGAAAAATCCGACTTTTTTTCTTTTTGCCGTGTTGGCCACTGGCTGCTTACTGATCAGAAACTAAGAAAGCATGCAACTTTTATCTTGTGTCACTGAAGATGTAATGTAACTGGTTAGTTAAAAGAAAATTAGGCATATCTACTAGCTTCTAATAGTCTAAATGGCATCAGAAGTAATTCACAGCACTGTTTAAGAAAAAAAATTGATATTTTATCTGAACTTTACAGAAGCAGAGGGAGAAATGTATGACAATTAAATGCTGTTTTTCATGTGTCATTGTACCCAACCTACTTATTTAAATGAAATCTGAACTATGAAGATTATACTATCAAGAACTGAGTGTTCATTTATTTATGACAGCCTTTTCCCTTCAGACTTTTCTCATGGTGCACAGGGTATGTTCCTTTCTAGCAATAAGTGTGTACTAGAGTCATTTGAAATATACCAACGAGTAGGTTGTTGCTAACCACGTACACAACTGCTGAGCAAAAAACTATTCCCTCCAGCAAGTAAAAAAGTATTAGAAATAGTTAAACTAAGAAACAAAACCAAGAAAATAAAATCTAACAGAATATAATACCTATCCAGACTTACATTATTTACTGACGTTAACTACTTAGTCAAAGTGAATTCACTTCTATCACGGGTGAATAGATAAAATTCAACTGCTTGCATACAATTGTTTTGTGAAAGTGTAATATAGCAATCTTCTGATGAGTATCAATTTCTAAGGCAAAAAATACAACCGAGGTCTTAAACAAAGCTTAAATTTTTTCCATGTTTTCATAAATTTTACAATAAAGTGGATAAACATGCCTGTCGTCACAGTGTTTGAGTGACTGATGGCTGAGTACAGAAATAATTTGCTTCTCATATACAATATTAAAGTAATTCCCAAAATAAGGATTTTATTGAAAGAAATCTCCAATTATATCAACAAATAAATTATAGACAAGAAGGTGAATAGCAAGAAGATCTAGTTGCATCATGTAACAGTGTTTGTCAGAACATGGCCTCAGCCACAGGGGATTTATGAGTTGCCAGATTTGGCTACTAGCGAACAGCCCAGTTTCACCAGAACTGGGAATATCTTGTTTTTTCTATGATCAGAAGACATGAATGGCATGATATCATTGGCTGCAGGTGTTTAATTTGGCCATATATTTGTGAACTGTCTTCAACTGCACCAGTAGCTCACTCATATAAATGCACAAATCAAACCTAAATAGCTGTACTTGCAATTAGATCTGGTTCTCACGTTCTGCCCTAAAGAAATCAAGGAACTGCCCACTCTGCAGAGTGCACAAAACCAGATGAGCCAGAAATGGCTGCACCTTCATTAATTTTTTGAGAAACATTGGTTTGGCTCATATACTTATTTCTTTCTGTCTTTTTTTTAACTTCTTTTTTGAACTGTACTTTGTTTCCAGAAAATGTGTAACCTTTGAATTGTAATGATGGTGATCACCATTAAAGTTATTTGGATAAATTATGCTTACTCTTATTATAAATTAAATTTTTTATTCAGTCTTGATGCTGTGGAATTCTTTGATTAGCTAATAAATTGATAGTTCAAAGATTCAGGTGTAAAACTCGCAAAAAATATACATAAAAATCAACAGAGCCTGAAGAACTTCTCAGGTTTCACAAAATGCCTCAATTACATTGATTCACTGCAGGCTACAGCCTCTTCTGAAATCATGGCATCAGTGGACCACATTACAGACAATCACATCTTGCATCAGAAACACCTGGTGCAGGCCATAATCTCATATCATTGTACTTTTGTTATAGTGGTCCTTGCACTTTTGTTTCTCTTCTAGGAGAAGAGGCTTCAACATAAAAAGCCACGTACCTCTCTACACTCCACCCTCATTACACAACAGCCCTCAAAAATGCAAACACGTATAAGATAGTATTTGGTAATTAAAATTTTGTTTACCTCAGGACTCATTTGCAGCCTTAATTAAAGAAAGTCTTGTAATGAGGATAGAGTGTACTTTCGGATATTTTTCAAAGGCACCTTTTACTTACGTCAACAGGTACCAGAAGGCTCTTGCCAAGATGTTGGTTAAAAGAGAGACACCAGGCTTCAGTGTAACCATTCATGTTAGGAACATACTTCTTTATTGTCTCATCATTCAGCCTCAGCCAAACACCATCATCATTGTGGATCTATGGGAAACAAGCAACAAAAACGAGCCATGCCCTCCTGTAACTGTTGCGTAGCTAGTAAGGATTAACAGAATTTAGGCAAACAGACAATAGTACCAAGAAAGTAATGATCTTCACTGTGCTGATAGAATGTAAGAAGAGGTAAAGATGAATATTGACAAATTCAGAATTTCAAAGCAATGGGAGGCATATTTTTTTAGAAGACAAGATGCAAAGACAAATTTAAATCAGCTCATGCACTAAGACTTGCTTTGAGAGAACAGAGGAAAGAAAGCCAAGCCTTCGTAAGGTTCATGAGTTCCCCACTTTCCATTTTCCACTGCTGATACAACTTAGTGAACTGTAAAAATATTCCTTGTATATGCAGTTATACTGTAAGAAAAATACATGCATAGCAGCCTAACACACTACTGATCTTTCAGAAGTGTAAGGGAAAGATGTAATGAAAATGACACCTACATCTCAATTTTTGTGTAGAGTTTAAATAGTAAGTCATGAATAGCTAAATCCTTAGAGATATTATTGTAAGACGAACTCTAGGAATTTCATTTCCTCATATCAGAGTCTCAAAAGTTTGCTACACCAGTTTTCAAGTAAGTAAAAAGGAAATGACAACTTGAAAAACTAAAATAGTAAATATTTATATTTTTGCAACTTACACTCTTATGTTAAGGTGTATATGTCAACATCTAAACATGAAAAAAACATTCTTTGCATGAATTAACTTTACATCATAGTCCAATTTTCAACAGAAATGTCTTATTAATTACCTCGTCAATGAAAGTGATGGATCCATTGACTTTCACTATGCCTATTTGCTCACTCTGAAGGGAAGGGTGGCTACGGATACGAAGCCCTGCACTGTCCTTGGCCACAAATTTGCGAACCTACGAGAAGCAAAGGAAGACAGCAACGAAGAAAAAATTGGAACAGAGCTCTCAAAAGAGTAAAAAGAAATAGGTTTAACAGATTCTGAAATGCTAGTGACAAGATGGCAGTCTTAAAGTTACAGTTTGTTGCTAGTTTCCCATGGCTGCTGTGTGTAATTTCACTTTTTTACAACCAATAAAAGCATAATGTTCAAAAAAATCCCTAAAAGTGCACTGACTCAGTCTTGGAAAGATCTCTGTTATACCACACAACATTCAGTACAAACTTCCAACTCTTTTAACTGCCTCCCCCTTCATTTTATTCATTCATGCAAGTTTCAAGGGGTTTGCCTTTTCAAAATTAATATTTCCAGTAACTGATTAACCTGGGATCATCAGGTCTGATTTGCACTACCATAACATTGCTTAGTCAGCTTTTTGGCCAAAATTTGGACGTTTTCCTTAAAGAGTTTAAATAGCCATTTAAAAATAGAAAAAGAACATATCTTTCTATTTCTTTATTTAATTTTTCAACTAGCTATTTCAACAGATTCTCCCCTTTTCACATGAAGGTCAGATTAGATGCTCCTTGTTACTAATTTGATTTATTACAGCCCCCAGAATCTCCCAGTTGTTATTCACTACCATTATTTTACCACTCAAACACATTATCAGGCACCTATCCCACAGAGGATAGCCATCCTTTTGGTTTCCGATTTTAAGAAGTGCATATGTTCTATGCATGTGGTATAAAAACTTTTTCTTGGAAGGTTATTTTCAAACTCCACACATAAAACTGAAAAAAAGCATCAACTGAAGTATGGACTCATCTTTAACTTAACATAAAGCACAGAAAGATATGGAAAGAATAAACTCAGGAAAAGGTAATGAAAGGTAACAGTTAAGTGCACGATTTTATTTTTTTCCTAAAGAAATTCTTTATTTTAAGAAATGGTATTTATTTTAAGGCTAATTTTAAAAAGCCCAACAACAGAAGCATGTAAAGAATTTCAAATGTAGCTTACTCCAAAATGTGCAACGTTTTGCTGATTGGCAACCCTGTTACTTTAAGGATTCAGATTTCTATCACCAGGCAAAACTAAGATTTTCAAGGATCCTGTAAAAATACAAGGCTGAATCACTGCTGACAGCATTCTCAACACAGACAAGCCTATAAACAAAGCCTTGCAAATTAGGGGTCCCTGCACTACCACCCCAAAATGTTACTTCAGAAAATCGTATGACGGGTCAGCTAGAACACGGATTAAAAACTTGAATTTAGAGTAAGGAGAACTCACACTCAAGATCTGGATACACAGGCCTGGAAAGAGCATTTGCCCCCTTTGCAGCAGCTAACTTGTTAACACAAAGCTTCAAGCTGTAACAAACTGTTTAGGGATCAGATCCACTGACGGACAACACAGCAAAAAACAGATGAAACATTCTCTTCTGCTCATTTCTGACCATTAATTAGTTGTCTGAGTCTTCTTTCTGATATAGCACGTCTTTGCTTGGAATACTTCTCTATGGCTCAAAGATTCAGTAACTGTCTTGTAACACCCCCCTAAGTCAGTTCTTCCATGGAGCATACAGAAACTGGACTCTGACTAAAAGAAGTGACTACTGCATACAGGCATAGCATTTAACATGTACATCTCCCCTACAGTGCACAGCAGTGTTCAAGAGCTTTGTTGCTGTGCCTTCTTATGTGGTGAATCTGAAAAGAGCTACACCTCACAGCACAGAAAGGTGTGTTGCATAGGATAAAGCAACCTTAACAAGGGGGTTAACCTATGAAGGGATGCAAAAAACCACCCCCTGCCTAGAGCTTTTGGATTTGGTGGGGTTTTTTGCAACTGATGCTGGCTACAGTCAGATGAGGACAGCAGAAACAGTGAAAACATGTTCGTGACCAATTCTTCTGGTACCATCTTGCCCCTTTCAGGTAAATAATTCAGTCAAATTAGGACCACCTTCTTTTAGTTGGTTCCTAATACCCTGAATTATATTACATAGTTTGAAAGATATTGTTTCCCTCAATGGGATGTGGAATGGAATTTCCTGCAAATTAGTTAATCTAAGTTTCACAGCCAATGACAATGAATACAGATCACTATCATGATCTCCTTTACCAAGTTGGATAGGCAGGAAAAACAGATTTTCATCTGACTTCAAGTAACAGCTAAAGAAGAAATCAATACAAAATCATAATATAGTATGCATTTTCTACTTGTAATTCAAGTAAGGTTTGACTACAAAATGGGAATGTTCCACTGCCTCAATGAAAATTTTTTGGTGTCTCTAGTTGAGGTCAGATCACCTCTAAGAATGCACCATTAGTGTCCTTTGGTCATAAATATCTGAAATTTAGGGCTGAGAAAGAAGGGAAAGAAGCTTCTAGAGCTCAACTAATCCCTTTTCCTCAGCGAAACATCATGTGGTATACTGGACTGTCTCTAACTGATACTTGTCTAATATGGATTCTTGGGTTCAAAAGCATGGAGCACAGTACAATAGCTACCTTTCTGTACTATTTATAACACTGCTGTTCATACACAAAGAATTATTCTAACCTGGTTTGTTATGTGATTTATTACAACACAGAAGAAAGACGACTGATAAAATGATTCACCGTGAAAGGTCTAGTGTATTTTTGCAACAGGCTCTACAGACACTTTATACAGGACAGACAGACGCCTCCTCTCTCAAAGAGAAGACAACTTGGAACAAGAAACAAGACATGCTAGCAGAACAATACAGGGAGGTGATTAAACACTAGGTAATGCCTCAGAACACCAGTGGCCTAACTTTTTCCAAGTATTTTTAACTGTCATGAAGATGTTATTCGACAAAATGTAGCTATTATGTATGAACCAGTCACCTCAATTCCCACTGGAACAACTGAAAAGAAAGACAGGACTTCCATGCAGCAATTTATCTCAATTTAGACCAGATGTGTGTCTCACTTTAGTGACAGCAAGCAAAACATATGATGATCAACTTGGATGGAAATATCACTAAGTTCTGCCAGATGAATCTCACGCAGTAAGAACTGGGAGCTTTAACTAAGATAAAGAAGTAACCAAGACGTCTTCCTTCCAAGAGAAGGGAGAAAGCCTGAAAATATTTTTTGGATGAAAAAAAATCCAATGAGGGGTAAAAAACTGTGTAGAAATTAAAGATAAATTTATTCTTTTTCATTTACAGGTTGGGGAACTGTACAACAAAGTTGTTGTGTCAAGATTATTCAGAAAGTTGGAAAACAAATAAATCAGGACGTGGTGTACAGGTAAGTAGTTGTCAAACACTTGATCCTTTTTGTAACCACGTATTTCTTAGGAACCTTTGCAGTTGTAATAAGACAGGGAAGGATAACTTTGTGGTGTTTCAGAATTCCACATCTTTTAATACAGGTTTATTCCATCAAAAAAAGGCTCAGCACCTCATTTAATATCCCTTCCTTTGCATCTAAGAGGAAGTGGAAGATGGTTCCCTCATCTGAGCATCTTCCTTATAGCACTGCCACACCACCTTTCAGCTTTCCTCCAGTATTTATGTCTACTTTAATACTTCACGGTGGAATGAGAAGGTGAAATGGGGAAGTCAAAAGTTGACAAAAAGGATAACTTTTAAAAACAAAATCATGATATTCAAAGAAAGGAAGATATCACTAAAGAAACTGATTTTGGATTTTATATTGACTGAAGAAAGCTTCTTATCACAAAACAAGCAAAATCTTTATAAAGTCCTTTGTACAATTAACTTCATAATACAGTATCAAGGAAAAAGAACTAATAATAGTGCAGAATGCAGTCTGTAGCTTTCATAATGGTTGCACAGTGTTTGTGTAACAAGCCAAAACTAAGGCAGTTTCTGTAGAGTTTCTAACAATTTTATTAATGGACAGACAGAAAGAAAACAGAATGAGTATCTTTCGGTTTATTCAGTATATTAACTTCATTCTATTCAGCACAAAGCAATTTGCAAATATCGTTAAAACCTGCACCACTACAGCATGATAAAGTATGTACTGAACAACAATAAAATCCCACCCAAATATGACTATCTGCTTTTTCTTTTTAAGTTCTCCAAACCTTGTTTGGCTGAGGCTCTGCTTTTGGTTTAATAAGTTGGGTTCCAGGAGGTATCATTCCCTTTGGAGGATCTTTTACTTTCACTTCTAGTCCAGCATCTATAAGTAAACAAAGACCAAGTTTAAAAAAAAAAAATAAAATAAGGGGACATATCAATCAAACAGTAACTACAGTTCATCTGTGCTACAACTCAGAGTAGGTAAAACCACCACCCAGTTTTCTGTCTGCTATAAACAACACCTGCAGTTGCTTCATCGTATAAAGTATTACTTTTTCACAATCTGTATCTTCATACACATTACAGTTGGACTCCATGATCTTAAAGGTCTTTTCCAACCTAAATGATTCTATATGTGGAAATTTACAGATGCATGATTTCATGTTGTTATTAGATATGTCACACCTTGTGCACACAGCACTATTAGGTATTTTTGTGTCCTAATAGCGCCCGTAGGAGTATGTTTCAAGGAACAGTGAACACAGAAGAGTTAAATGTTTGAGGGATACAGGTAAAAGCTCCTGGAGAGGATACAGCTTGTGCATGCTGTACTCCTGCAGACGCAAATCGCAAAATGTGAGAAACGAGCCTTAAAAGCCAAGTCACACAATCAGAAAAGGCCTATAATGTAAACAGCCAGCATCTTTAATTACCAACACTGCTGTAAAACCAGAAGGTACTGGAAAATATCTCAACACAGTAACATTCACAGACTGTGAAGAAAAATACACGTGAAAAAACAGATCAAACTTAAGTAATAGGTGGATATAGCCTTGAGTAATAAAAGAAATGTCCCAGCAACCACTGTTAAAGCCAAACTACAAATTAATGGCCTTAGTAGATCTTTTCATTTTTTTTGTTTCATTTTACAGGGTGACTCTTTCAATAGCAACAACTTGAAAAGAAGCAGCCAGACCTAGCAATAAACTGTTGATTTCAATAACATTCTTTTAAACACGCATGGAAGTAACAGAAGGAATCTAGAAGTATCAAGAACATAAAAGGTTTGAAACAGAGAAGAAACTAAGTGATACCAGTAGCTGAGCAGTTAAAAATTTAGAGCATTACGTGTCAAGCATGAGTACGTGAAAGCTTGAGAGGGGACAATAAGATATTATTGAACCAAAATAGAAACTACATTGAAGAAAAATGGCTTAGGTAAGTATTAGAGTATACTCATGGCTGTTTAATAACTAAGGTTAACAACTGTATTCTAGCATCTCTAAAAGTTAACACAACACAATGATTGAAGATGGTAGAATCTGTGTAAAAATGTAACAGCAGCTGATTTAAACTACAGTGTAAAGTTTGCCTCCAGGGATGGCACACTGGAAAAAATACAATTGAGTGCACTGGAGGCTCCTATGAAAGATAATGTTCCTGTCTGAGGAACAAAGATAACCTTTAATACAGAGCTTTCATAAATCTTATCTTCTGTAGGTAACATACAAAACTGAGAAGCCCATTCCAATCTTCTGTGAATTGTGTGTATATGTATTTACGAGTGTCACTTCATGTATTTCCAAAAAGTGCTGTACAGTATTAGGAAAGAGGAATTGCTGGTGCTGACGAAATCACATCAGCCCTCTTATCAGGTCTGGGCCTAACTGCAACACCTTCAATACTTCTACTACCATCTTCACCATACCACCAGGAAGACTAACAAGAGAGTATTCAAAATACAGACTTTTTTTGAAGGGGGAATCTTTCCACCCCATGCTATAGTATCTCATAGTATAGTCCCTAGGACCAGCAAGACAACTAAAAGGTTTTCAGCAAGGAAGAAACTCAAAAGCATTTAAATATGAGTACAAATCATTAAGACTTAGGGTAGAGCCTCAGTTAAGACCACTTTCTCAATTTTCCACAGAATAAATGACATTATTTACTCCTGCATGATCAGGAACAAATTCCCCTTTTCTTATTCTCTTCAGTGTTGCATTCCCCCCCCCCTCTTTTAACTGTGCATCTCTATCACTCTCAGCTGATATAAGACATTTTTCTTGCAACACTGAGAGTAGAGAATAAGATACTTTGTTAATCTGGTAGTCTAACCACATTACAAACACATGATTTCCCACTTACGTCCACATTTCCATTATAGAATAGCTGTGGTCTTCTTTTTCTTTTGAGAAAGAAGAGGGAATCAGACAGAAGGCTTCTGAACCAAAATTTGGGTGTTAGGATTTGCTATGAACTTTAACAATAAATCTTATGAGCACCAAGACATAAATTTATCAGTATACAAAGTGGATACAATATAAATTTCTGCTTAAGTATAGTGAAAATTAAGTACCTATTTCAATGCCATCTATAGTAACATGAATGGTATAGAGACCAACAGCTCCAGGAGTCCAGTTTGCACAGTATGTACCATCATTATTGACTCTGATCAACATGTTTTCACTGGGTCTAGGCATAAAGAAAACAATTTAAATCATTAAACAATTACTTTATTCTTGGAAACCACCTGTAATACTTACTTTGGAAACCGTTCTATCAGATCATCTAAATAGCATTCTTCCCTGTCCAATGTACTAACCCCATAGTATTTATTATGAAGTTATAATCCTTGATGCCACATTTATTCATAGCAAGTGGTAAAAGAACACATCAAAGAGTAATACAAATAAGGAATCAACATTAGAACAATTAAGAATGAAGGATTTTTTTTTTAAAAAAATCTAAATTTAAGGAAAAAAAAAATATACTGTTCTTGTAGCGCTTCTACCCTTAGACGTAATTACCTGGCAGTCAAGGCCTGTGAGTTTGTATGTAAGCAGAAGTGACAGAACACATTAATTTCAGTCCCTATTAAAAAGTAATTGTTTAATGTTTACCTCTTTGGTGTTGGTGAGGCAAAGCGTAGCTCTTCAAAAGAATAATTTTCATATGCCTATGAACAAAATAAATTCAAAAAACATAAAATCAACAGTTAGCAGTTATACTACGGTTATGAATAAAAGAAAGTAGAGTATTTTCTCAAAGAATACATTAATCTAACATTACATTCACCAGAAGCATTAAATAGTGAACCAGAAACCAATTTCAAAACACAGAAAGAAAAACAGACATATATACACACATACATGAAAAAGGTATCTTCACTTTCTCTTTAAATGGCCATTATTTAGATAATAAAGACAGCTATTGCTAACAAAAACCTTTGTTCACAGTTAAGTCTTTGAATCTCTTTTCTAATCTCACTTGCATAAAAAGCCTTTGAACGCAGGTAGTGCACTGAAGATCATGCTAAGGCAGGAAAGTAAACATGCTGCAGGTCAAAAACTGCAAACCAACCCAGCGGATTTATCAATGGAATTTCGGATCCTCTTTCTTTCTACTCAAAGTGAAGACAAAATTCCCTCTATATTGAGGTGATACTTCTATCGATTCCCTCTATCAAAAAAAAAAAACCTGGTTCACTTTCAGAGATTCTTGTGCAATGACTGCACTGAAAAGCCCCATAGGAAGTAAATAATGGCAGTCACAGAACACCACGAAGTACCTCAGCAAGAATCTCTCTGAGCTGCTATGGTTGCTGAGTTATCAGATTCCTGTATTAAATCAAAAATAACAGTGGGAGAAGAGGTCGGATAAGGACATTTGAACACACATGCAGATCAGCCATTTTGAGTCTCTATACAAGGATATAGTTTTGGGTATCCGTCCCCCAAACATGTCATAATTTACCGTCACGAAGTGAGAAGCTAGAGTTTCTGATCTTACTTACATGTTTCTACCAAGTACTGACACAATATGCAGGCTACTATAAAATTAAAAGGTCAGGGGACATCTGCATTTTATACTGAAATAAGTGTGCTCAGTAACGCAGGGAGAGAATTAGAAGAGAATTTTTACACTTTCTTGAATCCTTAAAGTTTTTGTCAGCTAATCAAGAACAGCAGGTAACACATTTGCATTTCCCAGAATGTCAGACATTCCCTAATTTAAGCAGCAAAATATCAGCTGTCCTCTGCATGAAAAATGTTAAAGTTTTGGATGGAAAAGACTTAATCTAAAAGGAATCTCTGAAACATTCCCCAGAAAGGTGTTAAACAGAGAAGTTCCACATGTTTCAACACCAAGAGACAGACACTTTTTGTATTTTACCTTCATGTCTGTCTGTTACTTTTATCTTTATGAAGATTTGTACTATCATTATCTACTAAGACAATTTTAAACAAACACTTGTGTTTCCATTTTATCTTAGCCTGGTCCAACTAAGAAATGATTACAGGTTAACTAACTAACAGGGTCCATCCAATCCAGAAATGAATTTCTGGATGTTCTGCACTTGTGCCACCACCAGTTATTCCAGAGTACCTAATGTGTTGCAAAGTGTGCCACCGTAACAGTTGCGTGAGCAGATTTGGTATCTATTACTGCAAAAGAAGCAGCAGGTACCCGTGGACAGTGGTTATCAGAAATCCCATCTGGATTCCAGCTTTGCCTAACTAATGTATTGATTTTCCCCTCAAGTCATTGGTAAAAATACCAAGCAGCATCAAGCCAAGAACTGATCTTTGCAGCACCCCAAATAAAAAAAAAACCCAAACAAGCCAAACAGTCGTCTCCTTGATATACACTCCCTGGTTGTAACCATCAATTCAGATATGTGATTTAACAAGTTTTTAAACCATTTGTTGTACAGCATATTGATTTTCTAGTTCTTTCATTGATCCATTAAGACACTATTAAGTAGCCAGTTGCACTATTTACACATAGCTACTGTAGCACTATCCTCTGCAGAAAACAACTTTGTACCCTGTAAAAGATGCTAGTTTGCTGGTTTCCCCCCTCCGTAAATCCATACTGATTATACCAAGTACTATCCTTCTCTAGCCCCTGACTAATCATGTCTTATTAAGTTGTCCAACTGCTAGTTATACACATCACATCATGTCTCTTAACTGGCTCAGTATGTTACATGTATCTAAATTTATCACAGGTGCTAAAACATACTATATCAACACTAACTTCAGTTTTCACGTCTTTAAGAAACTGTTGCCAGCAAAGTCTCTGAGCTGACTCATTTGACAATGGCTAATTTCAACAGCTGCTGTTTAATATTTATGCATTGATACACAAATCATTTGTATGACTTTTTTTACTATGCTGAGCTCTGATTTTTTTCTGACGTTCACCAGTTCTAGTTTTAAATACAGATTCTCCGTAACACTCCAATCTATATAGACATGGCCCTCTACATGGCTCTCCATAGACAGACAGGAGCAGCCTCATGTTCACAAGCCCTGGTCCTCATGAGGGACTTCAGACACTTCGACATCTGTTGGAGGGACAACACAGCAGCGCATAAGCCATCCAGGAGGTTCCTGGAATGTGCTAATGATAACTTCTTTCTCTCAGTGATACAGGAACCCAATGAGGAGAGGTGCTATGCTGGACATTGTTCTCACCAACAAGCAGGGGCAGGTAGGGAATGTGAAGCTCAAGGGCAGCCTTGGCTGCAGTGACCATGAAATGGTGGAGTTCAAGATCCTTTGGGCAGCAAGGAAGGTGCACAGTAAGCTCACTACCCTCAACTTCAGAAGAGCAGACTTTGGCCTCTTTCAAGGATCTGCTCGGTAGAGTACCATGGGATAAAGCCCTGGAGGGAAGAGGAGCCCAAGAAAGCTGGTTAATATTCAAGCATCACCTGCTCCAAGCTCAGGAGAGATGCATCCCAACAAGGAGGACGTCAGGCAAAAAAACCAGGAGGCCTGCATGGATGAACAAGAAGCTCATGGACAAAATCAAACACAAAAAGGAAGCCTACAGATGGTGGAAACCAAGGACAGGTAACCTGGGAGGAATACAGAGAAATTGTCTGAGCTGCCAGGGATCAGGTTAGGAAAGCTAAAGCCCTGACAGATTTCAGTCTGTCAAGGGACGTCAAGGGGAACACGAAAAGCTTCTGCAGGTATGTTGGTGATAAAAGGAAGGCTAGGAACAGTGTGGGCCCTCTCCAGAAGGAAACGGGAGACCTGGTTACCCGGGATATGGAAAAGGCTGAGGTACTCAACAACTTTTTTGGCTCAGTCTTCGCCAGCAAGTGCTCCAGCCACACTGTCCAAGTTGCAGAAGGCAAAGGCAGGGACGGAGAGAATGAAGAACTGCCCACTGTAGCAGATGATCAGGTTTGAGACCATCTAAGGAACCTGAAGGTGCACAAGTCCATGGGAATTGAAGAGATGAATTCGCAGGACCTGAGGAAACTGGTGGATGGATTTGCTAAGATACTATCCATCGTATCTGAGAAGCTGTGGCAGTCCAGTGAAGTTCACACTGATTGGAAAAGGGGAAACATAACTATTTTTAAAAAGAGAGAAAAGACCCAGGGAACTACAGGCCAGTTCGTCTCACCTCTGTGCTGTCAAAATCATGGAGCAGACGCTCCTGGAAACACAAGGCACATGGAAAATAAGGAGGTGATTGGTGACAGCCAACATGGCTTCGCTAAGGGCAAATTACGCCTGAATAGATATGGTGTCCTTCTATGATGGGGTTAGAGCATTGGTGGATAAAGGAAGCGCAACTGACATCATCTACCTGGATTTGAGCAAAGCATTTGACACTGTCCTGCATGACATCATTTTCTCTAAATTGGAGAGACTTGGGTTTGACAGATGGACCACTGGGTGGGTAAGGAATTGGCTGGATGGTCGTGCTCAAAGAGTTCCAGTCACCAGCTCGATGTCCAAGTGGAGACCAGTGACGAGTGGCGTTCCTAAAGGGTCAGTGTTGTGACCAGTGTTGCTTAATATCTTTTTCAGTGACATGGACAGTGGGATTGAGTGCACCCTCAGCATGTTTGCCAAAGACACCAAGCTGTGTGGTGCGGTCAACATGCTGGAAGGAAGGGATGCCATCCAGAGGGACCTTGAAAGGCTTGAGAGATGGGCCCGTGAGAACCTCATAAAGTTCAACAAGGCCAAGTGCCAGGTCCTGCACATGGGTCGGGGCAGCCTCTAGCACAAATACAGGCTGGGTGGTGAACGGATTGAGACCAGCCCTGAGGACAAGGACTTGGGGATGCTGGTTGATGAGAAGCACAACATGACCCAGCAGTGTGTGTTCACAGCCCAGAAAGCCAACCATATCCTGATCTGCATCGGAAGAAGAGTGGCAAGCAGGTTGAGGGAGATCATTCTGCCTACCTACTGTGCTCAGGTGAGAGTACCTGGAGTCTTGCATCCAGCTCTGGAGCCCTGAGCACAGGAAAGACACAGACCTGTTGGAGTGGGTCCAGTGGAGGGCCACAGAAAAAATCTGATGGATGGGAACACTCTCCTATGGGGGAGAGAATCGGAATTGTTCAGCCTGGAGAAGAGAAGGCTGCAGGGAGACCTTATAGCAGCCTTCCAGTACCTGAAGGGGCCTATAAGAAAGCTGGAGAGAGACTTTTGACAAGGGCATGCAGTGATAGGACAAGGGGGAATGGCTTTAAACGAAAAGAAGGTAGATTTAGATCAGATATAAGAAAGAAATTCTTTACTGTGATGGTGGTGAGGCACTGCAACAGGTTGCCCAGGGAAGCTGTGGATGCCCCCTCTCTGAAAGTGTTCAAGGCCAGGTTGGATGGGGTTTTGAGCAACCTGGTCTAGTGGAAGGTGTCCCTGCCCATGGCAGTGGGGTTGGAACTAGAAGATCTGTAAGGTCTCTTCCAACCCAAACCATTCTATGATTCTATATGGATACATAGGTTTGTTTCCCTTCCCCCCCATTTCAACAGCCGTTTTCATTTCTCATTTGACTCAGACTAGTTTGTCAATCTGTGTAATCAAAAGCAAAGACAACTCTTCTTTTTCAATTCTAATCCAGTTTATAACTGCTTTAGAGTTTAGGTAATTGGTCCTTCTGATGCACCTAGTTTTCTGCTGAACTTGAATATACCCAAAGTAATTTCTAAGCAATGCATTATTAGCTTGTGATCATACTGAAATGTATTTTTTTCCTTCTCCTTCGCACATCTTTCCGCACTTTGAATGCTGAATTTTATGGTTATGTTGCTAAAATGACAGTAATTTACCTTCATCATTGTAATAGCAATATATCGAGCTTCTTTTACTATCATTGGCTCATAGGAAGAATCAAGCTTTGGTGAAGGCAGTCCTCCAAAGGTCATATCACTGCTAGGGGAAGCAGCTGATGCAGGACTCCCTGGTATCCGTTGCACCTTTTTAACTTGTTCCTGTTGCAAAGATGTTTTTTTCTGAGAAACGGGAATAGCTTTGACTTCTACCTGCAATAAGATACGGAATACGGAAGATGATTTGCGGAGAAAACACACACACACACACACACACATACGTTCTTTTAGATCTGATAAAGTACAGTGACAAAGTGCTTAGAGCACTCACAACAAATCCAGCTGTATCAAAAACCTATGTGTCTACACTTCACACTTTGCAAAGCATCTTCAGCATCTCTGACAAGTGTAAATGTACCGGAGAGAAGCACCCATTTGACTTTGCACACGAGCAGTAAGGCCCAATGTCAGTTCTGCCAGTCCCAGAGCACTCCCTGAGAAGCAGTATGCAGTCTGGTATGCCGAGCTAGGTTTTCCCACAACAGAAAATGCTACAAAGTAGGGAAGAGAGCCTTCCAAATGAGCGCACAGGTTTCACAGTGAGTCATCAGGGCCTGCCAGATCTGGATCAGCAGTGGTCAGATGGGATCTTGGCTAGCTCTGCTACTCTACTGCATCAGCACTGTTTGTTCATACTGTGCTCTGTAACGTGTATTTTATCTGACTTTTTATTTTAGCAGAGATACCACTGACCTCCATTAGTGCAGGTAACAAGAGTCAGCTCTACTTAGTTTTCTGAGGAAGAACAGACTATCTGGAAAATAAGTTTACTTACTACTCATCCTAAATCTGCAATAAAGTGAGTTTAATTGCTGCAGATTTCATACACTACTTGAAGTTATTGGAAATTATACCAGCACATTGCACACTGAATGAATCCAACAGAATGATTAAATTGAATTAAGAAATGTATAAGAATAGTAACTCAACAAGAATCCAGCAACAATTTTGACACATTCTTTTCCTGATTGAGAGACTAAAATCACTACTTAGAACGTTCTCTGTTTCCTTTGCCACACCTTAAGTCAGTAACAGAATCACAGAATGGTAGGGGTTGGAAGGCACTTCTGCGGATCATCTAGTCCAACCCCCACATTTGTACCAGGTACTACACCTCCTTTTGGACTTGAACAAAAGCAAGTCTTGAAAATATTTGTACTACTCCATAGCAAAAGTGGGCTGTAAAACACAAATGTAACCTAATCTATTAAACCAATCTGAAAAACATTTTGCATTCAATTTGTATTGTTTGCATTCTTTGCTACTTCATATAAAGCAGTCAACTCTTATACATATCCCATAGGTTTCACTCCAAAGCCTGTAAGGGTTTTCTAATTCTAGCTGAAGCTGTAAAAAAAAAAAAAAAAAAAAGATTTATGAAAAAAAAACCAAAAACAAAAAACCCACAAACACGCCCCCCTCCCTCAAAAAAACCCACCAAACCCCAAATCAGAAAAAAAAAAAAACCCACTCAAAAAACCCTCAAAAATCCAACCAAATACACTAAAGGAACTTCCAAATATTAGAAACCAAGAAGGGGTAAGTGCTGTTCTAGTCTAAAATAAAGTGCCTACAAAATGGTCCGTCAATGTGCTTCTGATTCTTTTTCCATCATATTTATTCAGTTTAAAATTTATAATACTCTAACCTGGCTTACAAGTTAAGAAATGGATTCTTGTCACCTTACACACCATTATCATCAAACATCACCTACAGCTTTTATTTCCACGACTCCATATGTGTAGCTCATTAAAGACAAGCTATAAATTGCATGAAATGATGTTGGCATAATACAGAAATTTGTATTTTTGTGGGTTTAGAGGTAAGAAAGTCTGACTACACTGAATTTACAAATGCCACTTTCTGCCCTATACAGGAGTATTCTGTGGAATATCTACAACAAATACTAAAAGAAGGCATGATAGAGTATAAGAACATCAAGAAATGACAATAATTACTTTCATATTAGGAACATGAACAACATCCCCATACTGGTCTTTTGTTTGCACTGTAATAACAGTTGGCCAACCACATCGAATGTCATCCTTATTCAAAATCAGCGATGTTTTTTGAGGATCTGCATACGAATCTGGCTGAAGCCACCTACAACAAAGACAAAACACTAAATATTAAAATATCTCACAGGCCCCCAAAACATAAATTCTTACTCTGTACAAATATGACTTTCAGCTAAGAAAGGATGCAGAAGGTCTGAATACTTCAATGCTTTTACCTATTCATAGAAAAAATACAGTCAAATACTTTTACTTAACTAATACTTGACGTAGCTATTAAAGTTCTATAGCCAGTTGCATAGACAAGCAACAGTGCACAGGTTTTGAAATTTAACACATAACTAAACATTTTCTATTTTGTTGCAAAATTTAAACATTACAGCTATAAAGCAATGAGTTTATCCATGTAGCACACAAACTTTTTACCTTGCAAGTCGTCCCCCACTTGATCCTGGTACACAAGCAATGAAATCCTCCAGAAATGACTGCTCGTTGCTTTGTACCTGAAGTGGAAGACTTCCTTCAAGAGCTTCCAAAATGGTTGGTGAGTGAGATAGTGCCAAGCCTTTCCCGAGAATGCCGGAGTGAGATTTGCACACCTTTTTTTTTTTTTTGCAGAGGTTGGGGTTGGGATGAAAGGATGGAGACAAAACAGCTTTTCAGTACCTTACATGTAGACACTATCCCACAACTGGCATAGACATTCTGGGCACTGAAAATCATTCAGGTAGGAGGAGATAAACTTTACTCTGATGAAAATTAAAAGAAGTCAGTTCAGCCTATAAAACAATGATTTACTTTAAATGAGATCAAATAAGCATGAGTTGAGAGAGAATTTCTAGAAGAAAGAATAAGGTAACATGAATTTCCCTGATAAGAGTATCCTAAGCTGCTGAATTCTGACCAGATGAAGAATGAAGAAAGCCATTCAGAAAACGGGATCAATGAGCATATTCCAAAATAAAATATAAGGTTAGAGATGCAACTTACAGAAAGACAGATCTCTTAAGAAAGGTATTTTTGGGTGAGATGAAGTAAAAGGAATCTTTTCTTTGCAAGCAGGGAACAAAGGTGGAAAGATGCATAAAATACTTAACAGACCAGACTGAAAGCAAAAATGAATCCCTTACTTGCATGCACATTCCTAGCTCACATTTTGAATTACAACACAGTGGGTCCAAGAACAGATCGCTAAAAAAAATTTCTTTCAAGGAACATCCAATTCTTCCTAGACAGTTTCTGTTTACTGTTCTGTCATCTAAGGCCTATGCAATGGTGCCATACTGTAAAACTGATATATTTTTCCAGTAAGTGCTGCAACAACTAAATTTCAAGACAGTTGCCCTGAAGATAATTAGGAGAGACAGACAGAATGTGAAAACTCCTTTTTCACTGTGCATCATCAGCTAGGGGCTATAGTTATGGAGCTACTGACCAGCATTACCTCTCATCACAACAAACAAAATGTATCATCAATCCAGAACAACTGAATTTATATTATTTGGGACTTCGTAAGTTTTACCACTCAACAGAAAACATTATTTTGTTTCTGCAACTACAAATAAATGCACAGAAATAATTTGGTAACATCTAAAATTTGTTAAATGGTGCAACCTAAGCCAGACATCTATATATTTTGAAATATATTTGGTCATCTAACTTCCTCTGTGATATGTTATGCATTTTTTTCTAAGCAGATATATTTTTAGAAAGATTTAATGTAAATACTAAACTTCTATAAGACTTTCTTACACTGTTTTATAACAGGCCAGATTCCCCCTTGTTATAAAAACCTTACAAGTGATTTTCTTCCTTAAAAGTCAAAGTTTCAATGCAATTGTGTGCTGAAGTCTGTTGCAATAAAAAAAAAGCAATGGTATAACTGAAAAGCAGCCTCTTCAAGAATCTCCAGGTCTTCTTCAAATTCATTTCCTGCTGTAAAAACAGAACTTATTTTCACAACAAAAATGAAACTTACTTTTCATAACAGTAATACTGACATTTATCTACATGTGATGGAATATGAAATTCGATTCTGTTTAGTGAAGCCTTTTATACTACAAAATTTAAGTTGCAGGATAATGTGTACCATTTCTTAACCAGCAGCTGAAAGATTAATATTTTCAAGTAACACAGTAAACATGCAGTAGTGTACAAGCAAATAAACAATATATGTCACACAAAACAAAAATCTGGTAATTGTCTTCTTATCTCCAAGACAGTATGTATGGCAAATCTTTGGAGTGACTAGATACTTTCAGAAAAAGATTTTGGGAAGTCAAAATGGTTTCTGGGAAGCAGTACCTATGACTATGCACCAGCTGCTCCCTTTTAAGAACTTACCCTAGTAACAGTATTTGAAAAATCTTATAAACTCTGCACAATTTTGTAAATTATGATTCCTCCTAAAACATAAACCTCAAATACATTTTATTCTACAATATTTCTTTCTCAGAAATGCAACTCAAAAGTGACTCCAGGGTGAACAGAATTGCCAAACACAGTCTTTTAGCAGAAAAGAAAGTAAAACAGATAAGATTACCATATTTCTGCTCTCTCACAAAAACGTATCAGGCAATTCTACTAGTAAGAAGGGAGAAAGAGAAACGAGAAGAATCGAGTCCCAAGGCATTTTTAAAATTCAAAGAAACAAATATATACAAATATTCTGCTCTCAGAAATAGCTTCTACTGAATTTGAAACAATTAAGTAAGTAATAACGTTAAATATACTGATCAACTCCACATTGCTGTTGAAGTTAGATCTCGGTCACAGACTAGATCTCTCACTTGGGAAAAAGGAGCTTAAATCTGAGTCTTGGAGAACTGACAAGGAGGAAATGTGACCTTTTGAACATGGTAACTCAAATAGTATTTGGTGTACTTTCAAAGATAAAGTTTTCCTAATACATTAAAGAATCACTGTCTGGTCCAGCTTCCTTCAGAGCAAAAAAAGGGTAAAGGCTTCTCTTGATGTCCTTTCAAAGTATTTTTTTTTTCAAATGGTTCTAGAGGAATACTTATACAAGTATTTGGTTACTTGCAATTATTAAAAAGCAAGGTCTTTGTGAAGGACAATCTCCTTAAAGTCAATGGACCAAGACAAATTATGCAAATAAATCCGAAGCTGGAAGGGCCCTACAACGATGCCTGTGACAACTAACTCTGATTTGAAGTCAGTTCAATCACTCTACTTTCCTTGACAGAAAGCTTCCAGACAAGTCTCTTTTTCTTTTTGTTTAACTCTTATGATGCCCTTTGCACAACCTTCCACAAATGTACCAGGTGAGAATTTTCAACCATTTCCTATTTCCTTTTCTTAAAATTCTGCCACATTCATGAAGTTTCTTACTGTCTTCATTAAAATCACCAGGTTTTAAGAGCCCTTAGTTGGATCCAAAGGTCTAAAGAATATGTGGGAAATGGAGCAGGATTTATTTCCCCTAAAAGCAGTGAAGCATGAGATAATGAGCTCAGAGTTGGGTATTACAAGGTGTCTTCAGAGCAAATGGAGGACAAACAGGCTTCTCCTTTGGGTGATTAATTTCATTTTTCTTACATCTTCACCTTAGGATGACAGGAAACTTCCTCTGACGATGGCTATGTTAACTCTAAAAGAAGGTTAGAGCTACTAGCTTAGATCTATATACCTAACTTCTAAATGCCAAAGTTCAGGCATTGTAAGTTAAGTTGCTAATTCTTTTCTGGAGTGAGCCTTTTTCTTAGGTTACTTTCTTTAGCCTGCATACATCCACACATGGAACAAAGGCAAATATAAAGTATGAAAAGTTTAATACAAAGGGCCTTCTTGTGTGCATGCATTACGAGACAGTCTTTTATATGATTAGATAGGTTTTTCTTAAAGGACACTCCAATTCATGCACAAGATGATACTGCTCTGCAGATGAGCAATGATAGTAACACAGTATTTTTTAAGCCAGCATTTCACTTGCAGCAAAAGATAGAAGATACAGAATCTAGAACCCAGAAAACGGAAAAGTAGATTGATACTGTCATTTAAACGCTGCTCTAGAAAACCACATTTTACCTCTTTTCCTGCCACAGTGTTTTTCTGAGACGCCAAGCAAAACACTTAAACAAAGCAAAATTACAGACAACCGAAAACTGTCTTAAAAAGGTTACACATCGGTGTACATTTGCAAACACTACCACTGCTGCCTATAAATCATCAGCTCCGTTTATTCATAGGGTCCAGTGGTCTTGTAGAGAAACAACACACATGTATGATGCCTGTTTGTCATCAGCTTTATAGTATTATCAGCAACACTAACAGACTTGGCTAAAGTCCTTGAGTTAGGTAAACGGTCAGATGAATCGATTATAATTATGTCAGTAATCAGGAAACTCTTCACAGTTAATGCATCTATTCCTACTCTCCTGCAGATCATACACAGCAACTTTTATAGGTGTCTGAGACTGCATAGGTAACTTAACCTCACGTTTTATTTCAAATTCTTTCTATCTGAAAGCATATAAAGCCAATCTATGTACCACCTACCTCTCTTTTTTCAACATTCAACATAAAAAAACCTCTTTAGAGAGAAGTATGAAGTACTAGAAAACCTGTGAAGTTGTTAGAAACTTTTCAGTTTCAGCTTCCCCCCTTTTTTTTTTTTTGCAAATGAGAAAGCAGGACAAATGGGTTCTAGGAAAGTCAACAAAACTAAGGAGCTGATGTGGCTGTTTGGAGGATAAAAGAAGGCGGCACTATTTAAACTATAGAATTGCCTATACTTTTGAGAGAGAAACATAGATCTACCAGTGCAACTGAGGTGCCTATTTACAACACAAAGTAAGAAATTTGCACATTCAAATACACAAGCAAAATACAGAGATAAAAATTTCAATTAGGTTTTGTGGTTATAACTGCACACTGATCAATGCCCTCCTGCTCATTAGTACACACTTCCAGTCTCATTAACAATATTTGAGCTCTTGTTTTTGCTCCCAAGTCAAAATGACCAAAAAGATACCTTATTATATGGGTCATGAGCCTGTTTTTCTTATACACCAATGTAAACTGGGAGAAATGCTATTACACAGAATATGGCTGCATCATCAGAAAGTTCTAATTCAATCTCCATATCCAATAATTTTGTTAAAATCATGTTTTTCCTTACATTTTAAATTGCATTTAGGTTACTGTAAACTTATTTGCTGCATCTGCTGTAAAAGTATAGGGGTATTTTGGTAATTGTAAAAAAAAAACCTACAGCCTAAAATATTTCTGCTGTAAAGTCTACAGATAACAATGGACACTTTCAATTTTAAACTAACAATTTTAAATTTTGCAATTCAATGCTGCGGGTATTTTTCATTCACAAAGGTGTGGAGTGCAGGGCGAAAAAACAGTGAAAGAGAAATACAAATAAGATACCTGCACATTTGTGGAGTACCATGAGGAAACTGAAGGACATAGCTCGTACACTGATACACTACCTGTGGATGGGGTGAGTTGGTTCAGATTTAAATGACCAGGTTTCCCTCCTCCCCATACACATATAAAACGAACAGGGTAAGCAGAAAATACCATCACCTTATTATCCTGTTTGATTAATTCAGTTTTAATAATCAATTTTGTATGATCATCTCTAATTAAAAGCAACATTAAGACTTAAAAGTAGTATTCATTCAGAAAACCTGAAACAATGATAAAATAACAAAGCACGTTCTTCGAATAGGACTTACCAATAGGAAGCGCTAGATCTTTTTTCATCAAAGCTGCTGCACATGATCCTCCTAAATTGGCCAATTCTTTCTCCAGCTGAATAATACCCTTCAAATTGAAACAAATTTTAATATAAAAATAGTGTTTCAGGAAACAGGACAATGAATGTGTTTCCCTGACACTGCTTTACCCTAACAGATACTAATTGTGTGTTCCAGTTGGACATTTCTCAGTGATGTTCTTCCTACTAAACAGCTAGACTGTCATGTTTTGCTGCGACACGGGCCAGAGTACCAAATATTTAGAACAATTTCAAGTAGCTAAGAGTATTAATAAATGGGTTACCATGCTTCTGGTAGCCTAGCAAGAACATCTGAAGACAGTAATTGTCTTTTGCATGCAATAGTAAAGAGAACTTCCTAATACAAAAAGCCTACTGATAGATATTTGGATTGAAAAGCAACGCCTCTTCTAAGCTGTAACACCTATACATACCACACAAGCTCACATTACCATCTTGTTTAAAGGTAGTACTGTTAACTTTTTTCCCCTCTTCCCTTTCTCTAGCTGGAGAGGCAAGGATGGGAAAAAGATTCCATAATTTCCCCTTCTCCATATTAAACACTGGGAGACACGCTTGACAGTTTCTCCCTTCTATGTGCCCTGGAAAGTTATTTCTTCCCACCAGTGCTGCTGTTCTACGGAATGAGAAGACTCCCTCCCACCTCCAGACTTGTCACTGAAAACACAAGAGGGTCTCTCCATCAGTATCTTAACTCTGTTCATGAGAAAAAAAAAGAACAGACCACATAGGCTGTTTTCAAGTATGTGGAGGGAAGGAGGCTGGGTGCAAGGAATGAGGGGAGAGCAGTATGGCTAGGGAGGTTGTAGCCATTTATTTAACTATAAAGAAATGTATTTGATATTTTCCCTTCAACTTGCCCCAGCTACATGCAGACACAACCTCTTTAACTTTGCTCACAAGAAGGTGTTGACACTAACACCGATTTTAAAGAGAGCTGTGCGTGGTTCAGCATGCCTCTGATGGATGCCTGTCATGGAGGTGAAAACCAAAAAAACACCACCAAAAAACACTGGGGAAGATGGGAAACTTTCATCTGATGGATTTTCTAGGCGGAGTTACAGAAACTGGCAATATATAAAATTGGTAAAAAATTCTTCTTTTGGAAAGAGTCTCCAAGACTTGCCTGGTATTCTCAGAGACTCCCAGGCAGACTGCAAAACCTTGAAAACGCATGTTAAACTAAACCCTTGATAAACTGCTTCTTTAGGACTCAGAACAGCAGGTTCTGAAACACCAAGCAAGTAAAGATGTGAAATGTGGATCAACCCACTGGACGGTTCCCTGCCTTTATACAGAAGGCAGTTTTTGCACGTATTTTGTAGATTTAATAATGACCAACAAAAAGCCTTTCATTTTTAATTCATCAAAGCATAAATCTACAATTTTTGCAAAAAATCCTGGGTTTAAATAAAGGTTAATAGTTCAGCTACACCTGATTCCTTGATGCACTTGCTCACACTCAATGACATCCTTCAGTTTTTGCAAAGACTTCCCTAACACCGAATGTCATTCAATATAGCACAGTTAGGTAACGCTACCAGAAGTTTGCCCTTTGGAAGGAGAGAGGACCAGATTCACAAAAAATAATCCACTGTCTTGAATTAGGTCTTAGTAATACCTTGTTTCTTTAAGCTAGAAAAAACACAGTGGTCACCAGAACATATACTTCTTTTTCTAGTGGTAACACTTCAGAAAACTGTCCTCACAAAGTTCCCAAAAGAATGAGAAACTTGCATTGTGTGTCCAATGACTTAATTTAAGTTACTTATGGAGGCTTTAGTCCCGAGATGCAAGGTAGCTTAGACACTATAAAACTTGCTTTTCTATTTACACAACTTAAAAGTGTTTGGGCTATAAAAAGGTATGCCTGAAAATAATTACTTGTAACTTTTCTTTAGATGGTACAGTAAACACATTGGCTTGTATGTTTTAGCACTGAGTATTAAAAACCTGACAGTACCTTTGTTTGTAAAGGCTTTTAAGAAACTAATGAAGTATACGAATCTCCATCTTTTCTTCTGCTTAAGGAATAATAATTATTATGACACAATTGTAGACTAGTTAGATTATCTATAGGATTTATAAATCTGATTAGCTGCAAGCCATGAGACCATCATAGCTAGTAATCTTATGGTATGTTTTATTTGATCTGTTACGAAATTCCAAAGAACCTCTTGTTTTGAAGCCTGAAGACATCATTTAGCTTGAGCAGAATACAGGAATAAGATGATGTAAATCTTCTGTGAGGGTTGCAGTTTAAGTAAGATGCAGCCCATGTGAAATTCAAGTAATAGGCCCAAAGACTCCCAAGATAAAGGAAGGTCTATTTTTCTGGAATTATTGTAAAGCATACGAAATATTTTCAGTAATCTCTTAAAATAAGCCAAAATCAAGCACTGGCCCAAGGACATGACAAAATTTTATCTTTCTTTTGCAACAAAGAAACAGTGGTGGAAATGACTCATGTCCTTAGAGCTGACCACTGTGCAAAATCTCAGGTAGCCTAAACGACCACAGCATTTCCAGGGAGTCTGAGAGTTCTGGTATGAGTGAAAATTGGAAAAATAACACGGGTTTGTCATCCTGTAATTGCCAGTGACAGTAAAATACGAGTCGCTGTGTATCTGAAAGCCTCAGTCCTTTGGATTTATGATGGCAGACTAGGTCAGAATTTTAGAAAATTTCATATCCCATTGACCTACTAGATAAAATCATGCTATGTATTTGATAACTGTCACAGTTACTAAAAAAGCCAAAACAAACAAAAAGCCATTCCAATAATATTCAGAGTAAAGAACTCCAAACAAGTAATGTCTGTAACAAAAAAACATTCAAAACTTATGTGTAATTAACAAAAATATTTTACTAATGTTATTTAGTCAGAAGTGGAAATACAGTATTTTTAAAAAAAATCTGGCCTTACAGGAGACAAATAATAGGTGCAGCAATTGCAGCCGTTTCACTTTTTCCTCACCTCATCAGATCCTGGACTAAATTCATATCCAATTGCATAACACTTGAAACCATAAAAACAAGCCTTTTCATCTTTCACGTAGTCTGACGCAGTCTCCAGAGAAAAGAGAGCTTCGTTTCCTTACAGAAAGTAAAAGGATACATAAATTAAAAAAAAATTTATCCTTTTTTTTGTATGTTTCTTCTACATGAGCATATATGAAATCTAGACTTTATATCTAATATGTAGAGTAAAGCCATGAATAACACACAGATCAACACGTCAAACAAGAAACCTAATATAAATGTAATCAACTGATGTACAACCAATGGCTCGTAAGGAACTCTTGCCAGCTTGGTCAAAGATACTTTTACAATTTTTTTTTCTAAGATAACTGTGCAGAAAAATCAAACTTTCTTTCACTATTTTAATAATTCACATTACTAGAAATTATTGCAGTATCTATTTATTACCTGGCAATACTAATACCATGGTAGGCCACCCTGAAGATCCACAGAATTTCTTCAGTTCTATCCATGAATTAAGGTTTTCATGAACAGAAGTATGCTTTGGTCCAAATCCCAGACTCTGTGCAATTCTGACAGGAATTAGTAAACGAAGAACATCCTCGGACTGAGCAGTGCCACACTGAGTGTCAAACTCTATCGTTATCCACCTGACACATTCAGGAAAAGTCACCTAAAACAAAACAGCAGTCCAATTATGTACAAGTTTTGGGGGTTGTTGAGGGTTTTTCACACTTAATTTTCATTTCCATTTGGTTTTAACTGCTTAGGCTATGAAAGTGTAATTATGTAGTACAATTGTTTTGATATGCTTTAGATTAACATTAACTTAATTTATTCTTTGCAGTTCAGATACACCCGAAATCCTTTACACACTACTGAATTATAATCATGTATTACAATTTCTGTCCAGATTAAGCATTTGCACTTACAATATTATTTGTGATTGTTTTAAGAACTCTGCACAGGATTATTAAAGAAAACCACCACAGACTACTAATACAAAGATTTAACTCTCAAATACCATATTAAATGCAAACTTCAACAAACACATTCGACATCTGTTTTGTGCAATCCTAGAAAAGTACACAGCTGTTGAATCACACTTGTGAATATGGCTTGCAGTACCATAGCATATAGCTACAAAAATTCAAAAGCGGTAACAACTAAGCCCAAGGCATCAGATAAACTCCATAAACTTTTAGAACAGTAACAAACATCACTGCTTCAGGAAAATCATATAACTACATTTTCTGCAGTGGACGTCTTGCTGTCTCACAGGACAAGCAAGTGGAATAGTGGAACAGTAATTAATGACCTCCCGCAGCTCTTACTTGATTCCAGGTTTGCCACCTCTGATTTACAGTTGTGGAGTCAATGCAACTGCACAACTCACTATTTCAAGAACTGAAACATGGGATTTATCACTCAGGCATGTAATTTATGCCTCAACCCTTTACTCAGCTAGAAAAAATTCCCTTTCTCTACCGATGTTGAGGAAAACCTAGTTTTATAGTAATAGTCACCCATGTAAGGTGAAACGAATCCTACTCAGAGTGACTTAACACACTTAAGAGGACTTTTGGGACTTCTGCAATGCCACATCATGGTCTAAGTGAATGTAATGAATTACGAATTTAAATTGGCAGACCAGCAACAACCAGCATGGGGTTGCCTACACTATAAAGCATATTAATTTGACTAGAATTTGTTAAGTATTTTCAGAAAGCATTGTTTTAGCATTAGGTTAGAAAGTCTGAGATATGATAATTTATACATGAAGGCTTCCAACTTCTACAGTCTGTACAGTGAGAGCAAAGAAACTGCACAACAGTAGGAAAAGACTGAGCAAATATAGGGACTTCAGTAGTTGCCTGCACTAAGGGGTTAAAACTACACTAGTTTCCACCATAGCTTCTACTACACTTACTGGAGAAACAGAGGTTCCTCCAGAAAGCAGTACAGTAATAATATAGGAAACTGCCTCCTATGTCAGACAATATGAACTGTCACCCATGGCAACAATTTATCAGATAGTAAATGTTGATGAAACAAAATCCACCTGTCAAAATCTTTAAAGAAACTGCATGCAGGCTTAGAAATGGTGCTTACCTTATAGTGCGTGACACAGGCAGGTTTATAAGGATGCTCACTTTCTACAACAGCATAGTGATTGGAGGTAGTACAAGCTGAGAGCCCTTGCTCCGGCTGGTTTCCGGTGGTGCTGTCTGTAGACTGATTTGGGTTAAAAGCTGGAGGGGCGTATTTCTGATTGAGAACTGCCACAGAAGGAAGTACCTGTTGCACTAGGCCAAAGACCTCAACAGCAACCTGTAACATAACACCACACGCAATAAAGTATTACTCATAACTGGGTGAAAACGATGCTCGCATTCTTACCTCTACAATGGTTGTTTTGGATATTCTCAGAATATCACTACCACAATTCATTCAGTCATTTTCAAATTCTGCATCCACACAATTCTGATAGAAAAAGCATCACTACATTAATCTCAAATAATCCTCTTACAGCCTTGGCAAAATGGAAATAAAATTTTGTATACAACTGTGAGATACCTTCACTAAAACACATTTTCCAATACGAAAAGGCTGTAACATTAACCATCAAAAGGCATGAGTTGAGAGAAAGAAAATACCGTATTGAAGTCATAATCCAGTTATACTTTGATTTGTACCAACATTAATACTTTTTTTTCAAATATTCAATGTATTTTAATGCATGTAGTGTTAAGCATTGCATTGTTCTCTGTAATCTTTATGGCATTTTCAAAGAGGAACACTTCTAAAGCAAAACACTTCGTTCTAAATTCTAGTTCCTCACAGTAACAAGGTAACTAAAATTTGAAACTATTATTAATGAAATGCATCTGCTACATTTTAAGTGGCCAGTCCTCTTTCCTCCCCCTTTAAAGAGAAGTTAGAACAGAGCTTACAGTTCATGAAAAAGCAATAAAAGGCAATAATCCGTAGCTAGTAGGCACCAAAGACATTTCTAAATCTAGTAAGATATATCAAGAGTGTTCCAGACCAGGCATATGGAAGAATGGCTCTATCACTCAAAAGCAAGGATATTTTTATCTATAGCTGACATCTTCCCCCCTCTAAATTTGACAGAAATAATCTTACTGAGCAGCTACTGCTGCTCTGCATATTTATTGTAAAAATAGGATTTATATAATATAGAAGACATTTCATCCCACCAGTGTTCATCAATAAGTCATAAATGCAGATCCTTCTAATTTTTTTGTCTTTTTCTACTGTTAAAGCCTGTCATCTTTCCCTCTGCTTCCTTAAGTTATTTTATTCATAATGTCTGCAACTAGGATAAAAAACAAAGTAATTTTTAAAACATGACATATTTTAAAATCCTTGACTCTTGGAAAATTCTTAATGAGTCACATGGTCAAATATAAACAATTCATAAAATCATAAGAAATCAAGATGTTCAGATTTTCAGAGGAAACCTTTTCCTCGTATAAGTGTCTTAAATTTTTCAGTAATTTCTGTCAGGGAGCATACCTTGGGAATGGCTGCTGCTACAGGTCCTATGTAGGCTATTATGAGGGGAAGCAGCATTGAAAACAGACTGGAAGAGCTGAGTAGTTCTGGAATGTCTTCAGCTAAACAAAAAAAAAATACAAGACAGGCATTATTAATAAATGTACCATGGATCAAAACACATCTTATTTTTCTTGTTTGTCTCTTATAAGTTGGACTTCTGGTTTCTAAACTAATTTTTAGTTCAGATTACTTTCATTATCTAGGCATTGCCAAATTCTAAACCTGCAGTAAACATGCCATTATATACAGTTCTCTGTTAAAAAGTTTCCTCCTCTTAGAGCACAGTTTTATTGCATTCTTTGCCATTTTGTGAAACTGTGTTCATACTTTCTATGGTATAAAAGCTAGCACAAGCTCCTCCCAGCTCTGCAAATAAATTTCTATAGCACTATGCAATATTCTGGACATTTTGACTGGAATGGCTGAAGATGGTAGCTTAAAACCATTCAGTTTTAAGGCTAAAGTCTACATGTCTTAGAAACAGATGTTCGTGTGCTTATAACGTGTATAATTATGTGCTTATAATGCTTATAAATGCATTACATTCACCAATCTTCCTCGTTACCATCACTGTGCAAAACAGGCATAAAATTTGGAACTGACCCATGATAGCATATCTTTTGAAAATAAAGAATCTTATCAGCTTTAATACAATACTTGCTAAACTGATGAGCAAACTTAAACAAGGTATCTGTCTATGACATCTCAAGTGCAACCCAGAGACTTAGAAAGTTACTCACAGTTTGATACCTACAGGAACGAAAGGCTCCAAAAATATTCTTTGGAAAGCAAAAGAGAAGTATCACAATTCTTCACAGAATCACAGAATGGTAGGGGTTGGAAGGGACCTCTGTGGGTCATCTAGTCCAACCCCCCTGCCGAAGCAGGGGCACCCAGAGCAGGCTGCACAGGACCTTGTCCAGGCGGGGCTTGAATATCTCCAGAGAAGGAGACTCCACAACCTCCCTGGGCAGCCTGTTCCAGTGCTCCGTCACCCTCAGAGGGAAGAAGTTCTTCCTCATGTTCAGACGGAACTTCCTCTGCTTCAGTTTGTGCCCGTTGCCCCTTGTCCTGTCGCTGGGCACCACTGAAAAGAGTCTGGCCCCATCCTCCTGACACCCACCCTTGAGATATTTATAAACATTTATAAGGTCCCCTCGCAGCCTTCTCTTCTTCAGGCTGAACAAGCCCAGCTCCCTCAGCCTCTCCTCGTAGGAGAGATGCTCCAGTCCCCTCATCATCCTCCTCATTCTTGTATCACTGATACTCTACTATTATCTCTTGCAATCAAAGAAAGAAATTTTGAAAGTCAATTTTCAAAAGCCTTACCATCTACAGCAAGAGCCCTGTGCAACAGGTCTTTGGCTGCTCGTACAACAGCGCTCACGACAGAAAGAGCCCTGCTACAATTCTTATCTTCTTCATTAGCTTTATTCAGAAGCTGTGATTGCAGATCTCCATCATACTCACTCCTGGATGGTGGATTAAGTTAAAGTAAGTTCACAAAACACAAAATTACATCAAAAAGACATGACTGACTGATTTTTGGCACAGGATGAGTAAAACAATTGATTTACGATAAAACAATGAAGGAAACAATCAAAAAACCCACAGAGGATATTATGGGGGCAGTGCCTCAGTGTTAACCCTTTGCAATCATTTTATTTTTATTTGGCAGAAAATATGAAAAGCCTTTTTTTTGAAATGTTTCATTTGACTAGATGCCTTTCAAACCACAGAAATGTATTAATTGCTATGCTTCCCCAAGCTGAACCTGATAAAAACAGAATAATACAAAATGCGTCACAGAAATGAATAAAACACTTTCAATGGATATTTCTGCAGTATTGTAACAGGGAAAAAGATTCTCCCTCCCGATTCTAAAGATTAATTTTCGTTTTGAAATACAATCTTAGGCTTACCCTTAACGATTTTTTTTTCTTTGAAATCCACTCTGTATGTCAAATTAGGTTCTCCTAAACAACATTATGCACAAAACTATTTCTATAAGGCATATGAAAGATATGGTTTGATTTGCTTTTTCAAAGCAGCCAAATGATAATTATGAACTAATTCAAGCCCTCAACATGATAGTAATTAAGCCTTGGCACAGACAACCAGAATCACTTAGTCAACATGTAGAACAAAATTTCCCATTCTCTTTTGGATTTTGTTTGTCCAGAAAGATCTGATCTTTCAGAACATCATTCCAGAACATTAAGATTCTAGGACTGGCACCTCAGAATGCTCAAAAACTTTACTTGGAGCAGTTCAGTGCACAACAAGGACACCTATCCTTCTCTATGACTTACATTAACTACTCTTAAAAAAAGGTGTCTTTCTTTTTTGTGATCGTGTTCTAGAATTGTAGGTTTGCAGTCAGCCTCGAGCCTTTTTAATTTGAATTTACTGGTGACTGATAGTGGGTGCAATTCCAAGTGGGTACTTTTCCAAAAAATCCTTCCAAAGCATTTCTGCTCTTATCAGAAGTCCATTAACACATTTCTTTCAGTATGGCCTTTCTTGGCATTTGTGTAAGCAACAAATCTATTTGTATTTGAGTATCCTCCAAACAAGGAGCTCTGTTCTACAACACCTTACTGAGCATTTGTTCCTTTACTGTAGACAAATCAAAATCTCAAGTCATTACATATCAAACCGGGAATCCTCAAATTAAACCCATAACTATAGTCATTCATCAGATGACATTTAAGTTTCTGTTGTCCAAGCAAATTTCAAAAGACATTGTGATTACAGGCAGCAGTCTGCAAATTTTCCAAACAAAACTTTATTTATTCTGTAAATGTTCCGAGTTGTGCCATTACAGTCCTCCAAAAGCTTCTTAGAATTTTATCACAGTAGAAGCAAGAAAAACCTGAGACTGTTCTGAACACAGCACTTTGGTGTGGTTTTTTGCCATATGTTAGCTTATTATTATGTCAGAATGCCCTGAAGCTTTGATTTACTGAGGTTTTATGTCCTTTGTCTTTCTGAAATCAACTGAATGGTTATTTCTCCTTTATTCCCTCTTTTACTTATATAAAAGCAGAAATTCTAGGACTGGGAAGAAATGTTTTCCCTGCCTTCTTTCCTCCTACATATGTAATACGATACTTGATAATTACGATACTTCATAATAAAAGACCTCCAAATGCTGGAGGAATTCCCTAAACACAGGGAATGTTGTCTGAGATTCCAGGAGACTAAATCAATGAAAGTATTATGATGTGCACCACTGTAATTCCATTCTTTGATAAGAAATTACTGTTATTACTGATAAGCTGGATTGTTTGAGTCTTTGCGTACAGTCAATTTCATGTTTTAAAGGAGTTTAGAACTATCTTGTATCTTCAAATATACCGTTACTATAATTTTGCTGGAAACTTTATTTCTTTGTATTTTAGCTCCTTTCAAGCTTTCTTAAAAGCAACATGTTCTTGTGATTGTTAGCCCAAAATACATCACTTGTTGCAGCATTACTTATTTTATCCTCTTCACATTTTACTAGGTAGGTACACCTGGCACATAATTAAATATCAAAGTAAATTACTACTCCTTGCTCCTTTTATTCCTTGGATCTACTGTTGATCAGCTTTTTATGACAAAAATTGAGTTTTGATTAAAAGGTGTGACATTTTTTCGCTGTACAGATAATGGTAGTAATTCATATATTCAGGTGCTGACACATTTCGAAAATCGTCTCTTCATAGATATCAGGGTAAGCATCTCAAAAATGAAAGCAATGCTTTCTGCAAAAGCATTACCTTAAGTGAATTCCTACTCTCATCCTGAAAGGCTAACATAAAGCTTCCCTGCAGGACAGTCAGATGTTTCAGTTGCTTTTCTTCTGGCAGTTGCAATTTCTCTTTTTATACCTTTGAACTATATAGTAAGAGAGGAGACAGTTCCTTATATAAACAGACCTTGCTTCACTGCACGATGCAATCCTTTCTGGCAATAGAGGAAGGAACTGAATGAAATCAGAGAGATAAACATTCCAGGGAGTGGTCTCTCAAAAATCTCTTAGGTTATAGAAAAAACAAAGATTGAAGTAGAGCATCTTACCAGTCCCCCATATTACAGCTTTAAAGCAGTAGACAATGGACCTTGCAAGAGAGGTCAACCATCCAATTATTTGCCAAGTCAAAAAAAAAAAAAAAGGAGAACATTAAACAAGACTGGAAGAGGCACCAGTACAACTGGTGTCACAAAAACTGTCTTCACTAAATAACTTTAGTCTGAAACTGCACTGGAAGAACACAATACTACTGTTAAAGAAGTTCTTTCCTCAAACACGCTCCAGATGTATTTATTTCTGTTACTTCTAAAAAACCAGATGTGGTATAATAGCACTACGAGGGTTTTATTCACTTTTCTTAGAAATGGATCATGACAACACACGAACCTGTAATAAAGAATCTGTGGAATTTGTCCTCGTGTTTGGTTTGTGCCATTACTGCTCAGACTACATGTACTAAATGTAAATGTTACACCATCTGGACACTGAACTGTGGTCATTCCTCCATCTCCATTGGCAGTCCGGCTTCCATAATTCCTCAAACGAACTGCATACTTCACATTTTCCTTAAAAAGCAGAGCCAAAAATAGTACGCAGCACAAAACAAGTATTTAAAGTTAGGCTTCATTGTATTATGAATATTAATATATATTTATGAACGGTATTATGAATATTAGTTAATAATCATTAATACTGGATAGTCTGAGAAGTCCTTAAAACCACTCTACAAATGAAATTAACTGAAAAAGATCCAGCATTTAAAAGTCAAAGCTGTTCCATGTTCCAGAACTACAGACTGTAATTTCACTAAAATATTACTACTAATTACTTGAAGAGTGACCAGGTACCCAAGAAAACTAGCTATCAGGTTGCACACAAAAAAGTTGTGCATTCAAGAATATACTAAAATTACTAAGCACTTACTGTCTATCTTATGCTATTATAAAAATTAAGATTTAATTTCTTTTTGCTGCCAGGATGTGAACTTTTCATTTCACAGGGTGAAACAGACTTTATAAGGCAAACATACAGAGACCAGCTTCTAAATGTGTACACAAAAAAACAGCTTATGTTGAACATTCCGATTTTTGCTGTCTAAAGAAGTCATACAAAACCTACAGATGCACACTTCCTTTTTTTACCTTCAGCGGCACAACTTTGTCAAGTCTGATCTCAGCTATGTCACTGGGAGAATCATCTGTCGTATAAGTTCCTTTAACCAACTCTAAAGAGGTCCATCTATGAGAATGAGTTGAATCTCCAGTATGATCACTCTGATTCACAGAAACAAAGTCATTTTAATACATTTATGATGTAAATACATGACACATTCATGCAATTGTGCAAGTTATGCTTTCTTGCATAAATTGTTACACACAGCATTACAAATAAAGCAAAGCTGAAAAACCTGTACAGAGTCAACAGTAAAGCCTTTCTGCTAAAATGGAAATTACTGAGCAGAGAGGTTAACTTCCCATAGCAACCAATGCTTGCCCTTTGGAAGAGATTAGAACAGTTAGTTAAAGTGAACAACCGGGTGTAAAAGAACAGAAGTTTTTCTTCCTTACCAAAACACACAATAAAGTTTCATGTTTTTTCTAAGAGAGTACCTCAACAACACATGAAACATCTGGAGCTACAGCCTGACCATGCTGGTAGGTTACTCCTTTCTTCAATTATTGGTTTAAAATGTTTTAACTTGGTCTCCTTTATTTCTTATTTTCCTTCGCAGTTTATAGAGACATAACTGGTACTAATTTACATTTAGCTCCAGGAATTGAAAAACTCACTACACTTCAAATATTATTTGTAATAAAGTAAGATTTCAAGATCACAACCAAGGTAAGGACTCTACTGGATACAGCCTGTAGCTTGCAGTACCACAAAAGTCACCACCACAAGCAAAACAAAAAACCCTACTACCACTGCACTGTTTTACTGGTACCCTAGACTTTGTAAGAATATTACAATGTTACTTTATAAAACATATTATGAAAAACTCTAAGGTAATTTTTGTTCAAATTTTTTTCTCAAATGCAGTACTTACATCATCAACCAGTACCTCCAACTCATACTCGTGAATTCCTCCTCCACCATAAACAGAAAAGCCTACTACAACTACACCCGGTTTGTCGACAGAGAAACAAATCGCATCAGGGGATCCATTCCCAGTATTCCAGCTTCTTCCCTGACTTGTTTTAGTGAATCGGTTTGGAGTGGATTTGACAGAATGGAGAGAGTTCAGCCCATCAACCTGCAGAAAGTTAAATACAAGCACCAGAAAAAATTAACTGCTAAACGTTAGACAACTTAAATAAAGCAAAGTTAACTGAATTAAATTGCCAGACTTTCAACTGGGGAAATTTGAAAAGTCAACTGATAAAACATAGAAGATGCCACTACTGGGGCTTCTATTCAGTATCCACTGCAAACAAAAAAGAAAATATAATTTCTGGTAATTGGGAATTAACTAGGAATAATTAGGAATCTATTTTTTCAAGTGTTTAAATACGTATTTTACAGGATGAATTAGCACCAAATATAGCTTAACTATGCTTCAAGAAGAGCTAGGTATTTCTGCCTTTGGTAAGGTCAAGATTAAGAGAGGACAGACACAGATCTTGTTGTAAAAACATTTTTAATCAAGATGTTACCAAAAGCTTGGTTCTTTCTGTGACAAAAGTTTGCTGATAGTACAGAGACAGTGACATCCCTTTAATAAAATCAAATAAATTTCCATCATTTAACGATGTTACAGCCTCATGAAAGGGAACATCCGTGTGTAATTATGAATCTGGATTTTAATAAGGTGAACTCACTCTCAAATACAAAGCAAATAAACTGGAAAAAGTCTAATGATATAGACAAATATAAAACACATTATATAAAATTAAATATATAAAGAAGATATGTGTAAGGAGTATCTTACATATAAAGGAGGAACACACAATGCATAAACAAAACACATTATAAATTCTGACCCATAATCAAAAGCAGATAGGTTTAGAACATGAGGCACCCATGATACCATGAAAGGCATGGAGATGCTCAGGTATGTGACACTGCCTCCAGTGAGCAACAAACAAATATAGTTTTGAGTGTACACATGCAGAGACATGCATACAAAAAGAGAAGCGGTCAAAAAAACTGCCATTTTGTAAACAATCTGCAGAATTCTGCAGCCATAATGAAGTAGCTAATTATCAACAGCACTTCCCTAATACAGTGAATAAATGCTTTTAAATTTATGTTAAATCTGAAAGCTACTGAGAACTGAGAATTCCATCATCTGTGAAAGATCTGCACACTTAAAAAATTCCTGCCACAGCAGGTATCACATTCATAATATACTTGTCCTGAAAGACTTCTAGTAATGATTTTATAGAAGCTTTACCTCAGATCCTAATGATGATGCTGTAAGCTCACTCACAATACTAGCAAGCAACCCACAAGTATTAGAAACCAGATGCGAAGAGAAAAGTTCATTTTCTCTTCTAAGGCTGTTCCGTACTGGCAAAACAACAATGACCAACATCTTTTCCAGTACTTCCCGGAAGCTTGTCATCCCTGAAACGTTTTCTTCACTCTGCATTATGAAGAGAAAAAATGACAAATGACACTGTTCTTTAAAAAAAATCCCAACACATCGATTTTCACATATTAAAAGCATTAGGTTAACTGAAAAATCCATGACTTCTTAAAAATAAGTCTGGAGGGTAAAAAAAAAAATTGACAATTCTCAAAGCTGTCATAGTATGTATTCCTTTGTCAAAGAACTGATTAATATTCTTCATTTCCAGAATGAGGAGGCATCAACTTTGTTTATTGCATTGGAAAGATATACAGTTGCTCTTCTCAGGGGAGAGGTTTTCTTATAGCCCTCCTTGCCATGCTGTCTATAAGCATACATTAGAGTACAACAGATACACAGCTACCTATGGAACTCTTCATATCATTGTCTTCCCCACTGTCTAAAAAGGAACTCCGAAGCTTTTTGGCTTTGATGCTAGCAAAGAGAATCTTCTGTGCAAACAGGTAAGATAAAGCCAGTGGTGGGATGCTTATAAAAACAGTTGTTCTTTACTGAAGACTATGAAACAAATGTAAGCTTAGGCATCTACTGTGTCTTCTACCTAGCAGTGACATCCACTGTTTTCAAAACAGTTATCCACACTGAAAGTCATTCCCAAAAAGGAAAAATAAAAGCAGCTCTACCGATGGAAATCAAAGCTTTGTCTTTCTCACCATTTTATTTCTCAAAAATATCCAGGTAGAAAACAGATAGGGAAGACAATCAAGTCAAGCAAACCTGTACAGATACCTGCACAGAACTCTTTCTATCTTTAGCAGTTAAGAGGCAGCTGTACCCAAAAGAGAAATACTATCTTTGCATTTAATAGCTTTTGATGATTTTTTTCTTCATTAATTTGTGCAGGTGCTTTCTAAGTCTGTGAAAGTTTTTAGCATAATAATGGCCTACAGGAATATGTTCCACAGCTTACAGTATGTGTGTTTTATGAAGAGCAGCAATCTTTTGAACTTACCTTTTGCTAAGGTCTCTGGTTGCTCAGAACTTTTGGTATTGGAAGACTCAACAATTAACCACTATTTATCTTTCATACATCGTTCATGATTTCATACAATCTTACCCCTCTTGTCTTCTAAAGTGAAGAATACTATTTAGTAGTCCCATATCTTTGATTATCATCTTTACCTTTTTCTTTCCTGTAAATCTATTCTGGAATAACTGAACTGCAAAAATACAGCACTTGAGAGCGCTTGATTAGGAAATTGTTTAATAACCTTTGATAGAACTATACGAACAGGGCTTCCCTCGTCCACCTGCTTGTTGACTCCTTTAAAAACTCCAGTTTGAGACACTACTTTTTATTACCAAAGCTGTTTTGACTCTTCCTCAAAACACTGAATCTATCCACGTGTTCATTCTTGTGATCACACAAAAAAGCTTAAAAAGTGTTGCAGAAAACACTATGCAACGGAAGACAACTCTAAACTGTGTTTCTGCTAATATAATATACCAAAATAAATATGAATAATTTTTGCTCAGACATTTGGCAAACAAGAAATGATTGGAATATTTCATCCTGAAAGATGGAAACTAGATAAAATCATAAGTTTCTGAAACAAGCCTTTTAGAAAAAAAACACTCAGGCAAAGTCAGCTACATCCTTACAAAGCTAAAACTTCAACTTCTATAGAATCATAGAAAGTTTTGGGTTGGAAGGGACCCCTAGAGGTCATCTAGTCCAACCCCCCCGCAGCGAGCAGGGACACCACTAACTAGATGAGGTTGCTCAGAGCCCTGTCCAACCTGGTCTTGAATGTTTCCAGGGATGGGGCCTCCACTACCTCTCTGGGCAACCCATTCCAGTGTTTCACAACCCTCATTGTAAAGAATTTCTTCCTTATATCTAGCTTAAGCCTACCCTGTTTTAGTTTAAAACCATTACCCCTCGTCCTGTCACTGTTGTCTCTACTATATAACTGGTTTTTGTTGCAAAGTAAAACACGTTGCTAATTTTTTAGAATATATTCTGACCTGACTAAGTTTTTCCATGTGTGCAACCAAAAGAGGAAACCGATGGGCCAGAGCAGAGTCATTCTCAGTGCTGACTTGTTTAACCATCGATCGCAGCAACGCCTCCCCATCATAAGCAATAGGAAAGATAGAGGTCAGTTTTACTGAAGTATGGCAGAGAGCCGACATAACAGCGGCAAGAAGGCGGCTGCTGGAGGTTTTGAAGTTTGCTTCCTGGATGTCCTAAAAAAACCAAACAAAAAAATGAATAGAATGGCATCGTTGCATTCAAAGTAAGTGAGGGAGAAACTACTGTTGAAAGGAACTTTCCAGTTTTATCGCAACTATAAAAAAATCTACAGAAAGAATTTCACATACTGTTAGCTTTCCTCTGAATTTTACATTACCTCCTCTCATGAGCTTCCTTTTAGATCTTTCAAATTGGAGTAATTAAAATTTGTTGGTGGACATGTTTTAAAATAATAAACCCATTTAAAAATACTTTTGAAATTATGGCACCCTTTTAAGACAAAGCACTTACTGTAATTAATCAAACAATTTAATATGAACAATATATTAAAGCACTGATTCTTCCTTTAATTTTTATATGGTAAATGAATTTTCATGCAAAGAAGCAAATTGTTTATATCTCACTGCAATCAATGCAAGCAACTAACTACACTGTTCAGATGTGGGATGCTCATTCACAATAAGCAAGATACTTGGAAGAAAACTGTTGATTACAGAGTATTGCCAACTTCTCATGTACTTTGCTGGATCAGAGCACTGTTGTAACATTTAATAATGAGAACTCAAGTATTAGTGATGAGTATAAAAAATGCCACATGTATGCTCCCAAGCAACGTGCAGCAAAAGTAACCGCATACAAGGTATGCCTTCAACTTTGAAAAAGCAGCTGCAGACAGTTACCAGCACCACAAATTTTATGCATTGTCTCGGCAAGAATCTTACTGCTAAATATGACAGAAGTTCCAGAAGTTGAACTTGGACTCTTTGAAGAAAAAAAAACACACACAACTAAAAAAACCCCACATACCAATAAAACCCACCACCAAAACCCAATTATTAAAAAACACAAACCACAGCAGAATTCAAGTTGCAAACCAGGATAAACATACAAAAGGAATAAAGGTTTTAAATACCATATGGCCTCACTTTGAGCAAAAGCGCAAGCTAAGTTGTAATATTTACTTGTGCCATTTTAATGTACCTGGTCCAAACAATTCAGCAAGTCACAAAGACATGCCCACTGGAGAGCCGGCGTTGGATTCCTGCAGAACTGCTTCTAAAAGACTGAGAGGCTGACTGAGATATCCTTGTGGATCGTTGTCCAACTTCACCATGCAATGATCAACTCCTTCTGATAAAATTTTTCTCAGCAAGGTCCTAGTTTTTCCAATGCAATCTGCGAGTTTGCTGGTTTCCTCTACAACTGCCTTAGCCGTAGCTAGAAGGTTACACAGAGAAGCGTTAATGTACACTAAATGAAACATTTTCATATTACACTGCACATCTTAAATGCAAATAGAACAACCAGAATTTAGCAACATGGATGAACCTACAGAGAAGTTAATTTCAAAAGGAAAACAGTGAAGGGTGTTAAACTACATTGAAAAAACCTGAACATCAGAAACTTTCAATTTTCTGGTCTTTTATAATGCATGCTGTATTTTAATATGAGCATTGTTAAACTATAGGCATGAAAAACAGATGCTGTCTTTCAAATTTAAATTGTGCTCACCACCAAAGCACTTACTATGCACAAAAATGGGAAGAAAGAAGATACAAACAGTCCAAAAGAACTCCACTGTCAAGCCAAACAAGAAATTAACTTTAAAATACACACAACTTACATTGTAAACATGTGGTGTTGGATGCTTGGTTATGCAGATAATTGCAAATATCCCATTTCTGACAGCAAGTCTCTCATTTGCTCCAATAAAACCCTCTGTAGAAGCAATTTCATCTTATAGCATATCCTACATGAATTCTTAGATCAAATTTTGAATGTCCTGTAGACTGTAATTTGCTGATAAGTATTAAACAAGTGAATTAAGAGGAATACCTGATATTGGATATATTTCACAGGTGTAGACCCTCAGCAACCTGAGGCAGCAAGTGCCCACAAAACGCAACCTTTCTAAATCTAGAAGAGTAGCTGTGTATTGGAACCCTTTAAGTCCACGAAGTTCTTCAACTCCCAGCACCAGCGTTGTCCAGCTCCAGTGAAGAATGCTCAATAAAGATTCAAAGCATTCCTATTTCAGAGTAGGAAGGAAACAGAAGACAGATTTGGGGTTAAAACAAAAAGCGAATTTTCAGCATCAGTATCAGATGAAAAGCAAATAGCACCTATAACTTTGTTAATTAGAAAAACATATATGTCTACACACATCTAACATGCAACAGACATCCTATTTGCTTGACAATAAAAAAGCACTGAGAAGGTAGGGCACATTTCACTGTCATACCACACTAAAAGAAATTTATAACTTACAATATGTGTGTGGCAGTCTCTCAGTTATTCAGAGAACTACAACTGTTTGTATTCACCTGTAATAGCAAATTTTACTTGCTCCATCTGCATACAAATACTGTAATACCTACTTTTAACAGAATAGAGTCTCGTCATAAGAGTAAAGACTTATCAGGACTGTCTTCGTTTTGCTTTTAAGCAGTTATGATCTGCAGGATCACAGGAACTATGCCACATTTACAGTACTTGAAAGTTCAACAGAAGAACATGATAGTCCACAAGGAATTTGAGGATTTTAAAAGTTTTGTTTGTCCAAAAAATTGCTGCTTCTATTATTAAATGTTGTTGATAGTTTCATAAACATGTACCTCAGAAGGCAATCTACAAGTATTTGGTATTGAACAGCTTCAGGCTGCAGGTATACTTTCAAGATGCAACAATGAAGCTGATTGTTCAAAGTTAGTCACAAAATGCCTAATGCTCCAGAAGGCCGAAACTCTCCTCTTATCCCAATTTAGATCTATAGTGAGGGACAACAGCAGCAAGATAATGAAGAGGGAGGATACCATGGGAAGTATTAAAAGCTACAGGAGTTCATACCTTAATGAAAATATTTTTAAGCAAACATACATTAACGGTAGCCATTAATGTGTCAGTAATACAATTCCTAAAAATGCAAATCGTCTAGACCATACATTTCTAGAAGAAACCTGAACAGAAGATCATCCTGATCACTAGAGCATACTTGAAAACATGGAGAATACATAAAAAAGGGAAAGCAAGCTCGTTAGGAAAACTGGACTGTGAGTGTCCATATGGAGGAGAGTAACTGTAATGTAACTCAGTTGATAATACTGACAGTACATGTAATTTTATACTTTTAAAGTATAAAATATAAACCAAGATGGAACTGAAAATAAAATAATCATTGCTTGTAACAGATAAGGAAGGGACTATACTTCAAAAATGAAGACAGAATTGGCCTTTTCCTGCATGATAATATTGCATTTCAACTTAATGCGGTATTCAAGATTTGACTAACCTCCTTATATGTGAAGAACTGCAGACTATCTTCCACTAATAGGTGCAGTTCACTGTGCCTATCAATACTCCTTACCTCAGCTTATGAAAGTTTAACTAAATGCTGCCTGATCCTCAATGTATATTGGAATGCATCCAAGCAGAAGATGAATCTCACAACAACTAATTGATGACAGTAATTTAAAAGTCTTGGAAATTAGCATATAGCTAAGCTCCCTCAAAACTCTAAAATGCCTGCTAACATTAATTCCTTGGCAGGGAGTAAGGCTTGTACAGTGAATACACCCACTAAGATTGAACTCAACCCCACCTCCCCCCCCATCCCCCAAAAAACCCCAAACCTAAGTAGCTCAACCTTGTAAAAAAATACAGTTCTAGGCTCTTATCCTGTGATCAATACCAAGCTTAGCTTAGAATTAAGTTTACATCTGAAATCTTCAGAAAAAGTAAAAAAAATACAACTTTCTATATATCAGCGTACCTAACTACTGCTTGATAAAGGAGACAGAAAAAATCATTAGTTATTTCCACATGTACATCTCAGTTTTCTATGTATGAATGAACTTGCAGGAAACACAGAAGATTGCTGGTAATACTCACCACTGAGACAGTTCTCGCAAAAGATCTCTTTAAAATATGCACAGGTTCACTGGTTTGCTGTTTTCCTTTGGATGCACTGCCATCACTTGTTGGCAACCTGGGAGAACAATTTAAGAACTGACTTCAAAGCTCCACTTTTTATTTTTAGCAGTTTTTACTGTTGGTATTGTTGAAATGGAACAAAAGTAATTATCAAATAAATGTTCAATTTTAGTACAACTTCCGCCAGTTTGTAATGCTTCTAGACCAGTAATCAAGTAACTTGAATTCTGTCCAACTGGCAGAACTGTGACAATTTATAATAAAGTTGAGATGTAATTACATATGGAATTATTACAAGGATTTACTGTATTTCTTCAGATGACATTTCGAAGACTAGAAATGTTATTCCTTAAAGAACACTGGTAGTGTGGAGGTAAAATATATGTGGAAGTAAAAAATACAGACAGCATCTGCTACTGCAGCACGCTCCCTTTTGTGCCACTCATGGCTCTCCAACCACACCCCTCCTTCAGAGGCCCCAAGGCTTGTCTGTCTGTGCTTACAGCCACCTCTCCACAGAAATCACCCAATCACTTAATGGGCTATGCCAGGGCTTTATATGGATCAGTCAAAATGAAACCTTCCTCTGGAGAGATTGGGGTCTATGGACACAAAGCTTACCAGCACAAGTGAGCTTTCTGATAAGGGACCCTAAAAAGGACATGCTCAGAAAGGGCATAGCAAGAAAACCGGTATGAAGAAATTCCAAGTTTCAGAATCAACATGGGGGCAGGGGTGGAAGAAAAATATACACACACAATACAAAAATAAGGTCTTGTATATATCTGAGGAAATCTGAAAAAATGTATTAGCAATACAGTGAATAGGTTCTTGCTTGCTGGGGTTTTTCTTCATTAAAATCATCTGTCTGATAGCATACTGCTCCTAAACTGGGGCCTACGAAATAGAAAACTTCCCAACTAGCAAAAAAAATGAAGCATGTTAGATGAAATCATGAGGCTCTACAGAACTAAATGAAAGTCTCAGAACATAATATATGAAGAATGATTGCAAGAAAAACTGCAAAGAAACAAATGTCGGTACAATGGATTTATTACTTTTCTCAAAGACACTAAGTTTTCCCTAAATTTTTCAGATACTGATTTCCTTAGCTTAATACAACAATAATTTCATGAAAAATATGCTTACTTTAACAGGGCTTCTGTTTAAAAAACATGTCAATAAATTGTTCTAAATAGAGGTCAAAATATTACCTGTATAGTAACTGTGGGATCTGCCCTGCATTAACATCTGTACCATTATTTGATTTCTTGGAACTTTTAAACTGAAATACAACACTGAAAGAGAAATAATCCATTATTATTCAAGTAATATTACATCTGTTCTTTTGTGTTAAAAAAACATAAAAAAAATATACCCATCATCTGTTGTAATAGAGGCCTGTCCGTGAGATCCACAATCACTGCTAGGTCCTGACACTCTTGCCCAGGCTACATACCACCAGCCAGCTTGTAGGAGTACTGGTTCATCAAACATCATTGCATACTTCTCTCTGGGAGAAGTAAATTTTGAAAAAGATATACGTGAATTAGTTTTTAGATGAATTTTTAAAGATTTTTTTTTGCACCCTGCTAATAAAAGAAAATTGAAAATTAATGGAATTAAGTCATTAATCTCAAGTATCTATTTATATTCAAAATTTAAAAATATTTTGTTGAAAAACACTGTAGTAATTAAAAAAAATTCAAAAGGATCTACAAATGCCTAAGTCTAGCTTGACCTTGCATTTTGAAACAATCAGATATCAAGAATAAGATACCAGAGTAAAGAGAGATTAAGTTAAATTAACACACACAAATGCAATTACATTTAATACATAATACTGCAAGTAAAGTATTAATTAGTAAGTATTAATTACATTCTTTTAATTCAATTTCAGAAAAATCTTGTAAATGACAAGAGCTTATACATAAATTTTTAGGAATTACACATGAATAAGAAAGTAAAGGGGTACTGATACATAAGAATTAAAAGAATTAGTCATGGATTATTTGAAGGTTAAATTATTTTATAACAGGGAACGAAAAAGCAGCTAAAACGTGGCTAACCCCATCCATATGCACAAAATCTTTCAAGCAATAATTTCTTGTATTCTAATGAGCTGAAGCACAATAACTCTTCTTTTGGTTGTAATAATTTCGTATTGCAGTAAGTTTAATGATGAGTTGTTTAATGCAAATACCCATTTGTGCTTGAAAGCATCCTTTCGATAGAAGTATTCAAGGGAGCTGCTGCAATGTTTTGTCTTGTCTTCTCGTCACAGGAATATGGGATTTGACTTTGATTTATACAAGAGTAAGTGTGTGATGATTTTTTCCTTCTCTTAATTTAGTATCATAATGGCTTGGTGAGTTACCTCGTGTTTTATACTACTTTACCCAATACACTTTGTTTGAGTAAGTTTTATATCACTTACTACTTCTAACGATGCAGATCATCTCTGCTGGCATTTAAAGTGATTCTCAAATGTGTATGAAGAAGGTAAAAATAAAGATCAAGAAGTAGGCAGAAGCAGGTCAGGAAAACACCTTACCTAGCAGCACAATCATATGCCAAGACATCTGTTTCAGCAAGAAGGTCTCCATCAGTCTCATGGTCTCCCCCATCTGGACCCAACTCAAACAACTGGTAAAGGAAGAAAAAAGGTAAAAATATGTCTTGTGTGTTAGAAACCTCATGATACTACTTTTTCCGGTCTGTCATTCTGGAAACTGCCTACTACTATTCCTTCCCCTTCCCAAAAGTCATTGCTAGTTACTCTCACTGAGGCAAATTCCCATCTGGAAGTCAGGGCTCTGTAGTATCATTAACTGTTAAAAAAATAGCAATTGACACTGACCTCCCAGCCTTATGCCCAGATATATTCTTAAGTGGAGAAACTCCCTAAATCTTGCAGGCAAGTCAAATGCAGAGCATCTAAAAAACGCAAAGTTGGGGCAGAAGGTGCAGGCTTTCTGCCACAGATTGACATGCACTGAAGATATACTCAACTTCTCTGGAAAGGGACAGCTTGACTATTTAGCAGAGTTAATCAATAGTGTCATAGACAGTTGATTACTAGGACAAAAGATGATATCTTTTTCAAAGGAACTTGGGTTTCTTACTCAGTAAAAAATAATTTCTACAGTTTGATGAGTTTGAAAAAGGATCACAATACATGTCTGTAACTTCTCTTGCAAACGCCTATTTAATACACAGTTTATCTGTGGTAGGATCCGCAAATCTGTTCCTGGCGATAAGCTCATCCTAGACAGCCAGAAACAAATTGAAAAAATAATACTAGAGCGCTTTCATAGGGTCACTACCTGTCATGGTTTCACCTAGCAACTAAGCGCTAGACAGCCACTCACTCACCCCTCCCCTTTCCTCCCTGTGAGATGTGGACAAGAAATGGACAAAAGGTAAAACTCTTGGGTTGAGATAAAGACAGTTTAATAAGACAACAAAGGAAGGAATAATAATAATATTGATATTAATGAACACACAAAAAAACCCCTATATACAGTACAATCTTCTCAACACCTGATGACCGATTCGCAGTTAGTCCCTGAGCAGTAATCACAGAACCCAAACTCACAGGTTTCGCGAATTTAGCTAAACTCCCAAAAAAGACAGAACTCCCGGAACAGAGAAGAACAGATTCCTGCCCTCCTGGCCAACTCCTGCATGACATCTATTGTATGGAATATTTTCATCAGCCAGCTTGGGCTAGCTGTCTGGTTATGCTCCCTCCCAGCTCCTGCACACCTGCTCATCAGCTGAATATTAGAAACTGCAAATTGGGAGGAAAATTAACTCTATCCCAGCTGAAACCAGGACACTACCTTTGGTATTTAAATATTAGTCATGGTGTCTTTCTTTGTTAAGTTTCTTGGCTTTCCTAATTATTTGCAATTCTCAGTCATTGTGTTCAACTAGAATAAAGGACAACTACTTATTCTGATCTCCTGTTGACTTACGCAAATGTTACTGCTAAGAATATGCCACACATTTCCCTAAAACAAACTGTAACACTTAATCATTTGAAAAAAGATAAAGAAAACTCAATAACCCACTAAATGACAAGTAACAACAACAACATACTCTGAATATAGGCATCTAATATAAATCTCAGACAGACATTAGATCCTTCCTTTACAACGTCTTTCAGGGAGGTTCTGAAATCCTTATTAAATGGAGGAACAGAAGCTACTTCTCAGAAACCAGAAATCAGAGCTCTGTTAATAACACTGTGTTTATATGAACTTTTTTTATCCAAAGCCAGGCTTATTTATTTTAAACCAGTGCACACGCTCCAGCCCTAATCAACCTTATGTCTGGCACAAAGCAGAAATAAGTGTGTTTGGTGCCATTCACTCTCTGTTGAAGAATCCCAGCTGAGAAGCCATCCAGAGAGCAGTCTGAGAAAAAAGCGGCAGGGACAGTGGGAAGCAATGGCTCAGCTGGTACCAAAGGAATTCCAGCTACTGATAAGTACTCTTTTCCTGCTTTTGAGAAGCAGTCCTTCAAGCATCCTGACACAGGACATGATTGTAACTTGAAGCCCACAACACCAATTTTTGCACAGGTGGACCTCTGAGCCCACTCTTTTGTGAAGAAATAAAATTAATCACAGTTTAGTGGTATTTTGTTCTGATTAGTCCTGATTTTGAGACACAGTATTATTTACAACAAAACCAAAAAACTTACCTTTATTTTAGCAGTGTATTCACCCCTACCTCCAAAAAGACCAAGACCACCTAACAAAATATCTGTATCGGCACAGAAACGGATAGCTTCTACTGAGTGGGCTGAATAACCCCAGCCTCCTCCATGACCTGCAGGAAAAAACCCAACAAAAACACAGTAAATCTATCGCAGTCTTTTATTCTGCAAGATTGATGAGCTTGTGCTATAAAATTTTACTGTGTACATACTTTCAAATCTGTTAACAACACTATAGTCTTCTTTAGAATAAACTTTCATTACTGCTTGAGTCTCCTCTTCTGTATTTGCTACACCCATTTTCAAGTCCTGCATAGCAGCCAAAGTATCAAGACAACCTAAAAGAAAGCAAAACCAGAAAGAAGTCAAAATTTCTTACTATTGATCATAATCAGTGAAACAGGAATCAATACTACTTAAGAAGATCAAAATAACCTAACTGTTTTGTCCCTAAACCACACATATGCTACTGAATATCATTATAGCTTTGATTGTCAGGGGTCACTGCTGTAGAATCTCACAGTTTGCTACTGAAAATCAAATTTAATTAATTAATTTTCCAGAATAACCAAAAAATGTGATTAAATCTACTTTGCAGCTTTTCCAGTGGTAAATAAATTGCCAGCAACACCTCCTTTTTTTTTTCTTTTTAAGTTTCCCATATTACCAAAAAAGAGTTAATTAGTAACTGAAATATAGGCAGATTTCAGAGCCTTCATAAAACGCATTTTGCTTCATATACATGGGTACCTAACATGCCTTACTCTGACTCAGACACAAAAAAGTACTGTACAATTTAAAATTTATCACTTCTCTAACACACAATGAAGGGAGCAGGACAAGGAACTGATCACTCATCACAGTGAGTGAGCAAGTAAGCTAAAGTAACTTCCAAAGCTGGGCTTTGAATCATTGTGCATGCTGCATGTGGCCAGTTTATACATGAACACAGTGGAAGTACTTTGTGGTTTGGCAGGCTTTTTAGGCTACAAAAGGAAATCATATTATTCTTAGTGTCCCGTTATACAAAACTGCAAAGAGTAAATCCTAATTTTAGATAATTGCATTTACTTTAAAATAAAAATAGCTTATTTAAGAACACTTTTTTCCTGTCTTTTGGAGACTCCAGGTTAACTCAAGAGTACCAACTTTATTCTGCAGACTGTTGAAAAAGATAATCTAGGAAGGTCTCTCACTTTCTTATGTGGACCTCTAGTAGCAGGTTCCATCAGGACTAAAATCCTCTAGCATCATTAACATGGCAGAAGATAACTATTTCAATTAAAATTAATGCATATCAGCCAGAGCACAAGCATTAAGAGCAATGGTGAAAGATTACAAAATAAAATTTTAACGCAAAGTCAGAAAGCTGTTAATTACAATTGATTTATACATTAAGTAGTGTTTCTTTATTTCATGTAAGCTTCTGACTCATCAACTATAAATGTATACCTAGAATGTGCAAAGCTGCATGAGATCTGGTGGTTAGAGCTTTGGAACCTGTTGGTAGAGCAAGTTCTGGACTCAAAATACTACACCGGGATTGCATGTCTGGAGCTGAGGGAAGTCTGGAATCAGCAACTACTGCATTGTAACTCCACAGTTCCCTAGCATTTGGTCGAAACCTAGAGCAAAACAAAACAGAGTAAAAAAAAAAACCTTTCACTTACTAAAAAAATACAAAAATCTAACTAATTAGATTTTATAGATATTTCATGTAAAATGTAGATCTGCTAGTAAAAAGGTTTAAAATTTAATATCATTACACCAAACACATATAAACTTTACTAGCTTAACACACTAGCAAATGGAAAGACACAAAAACATTCTTACTGTACTTCAGGTCAAACAGTCATATTATGGATTTACAAATTTCAGAAAACATTAGACATTACTGAAACTTTATAAATATTAAACCGGTATAACCTATTAGGAAGCATGAAGTAACTAGCAAAGGACTAGATATAATGACAGATGAGCTCAAAAACGATAAAGATGCCATGCGAAAGTAAAAGGGTTACTTGCCTTCAAACAAGAGTAAAAAGATCTTGAGAAATCCAACGTATTTTGTTTGGGGTTTTTTTAAATAGGTAACATCACCTTTTCAGTTTTTAAGGGATTATAGCAAAGGGCAGCATAAACAAGGGAATACAAAGACCTTCTATACTATAGGTTAACATGGAGAAAAAGAAAATGAAAAAAAACTGAAGTCTTTGATATTACTACATAAAAAGAAGAAACACTTGGAAGACATAGGCTTATGGGAATGTTCTGAATAAGCACAAAAATTTTTCACTTGATAGTTTTAAAAATCCAAATGGGACTAAGATGGTCTAACTAACGGAGAAAGAAATAGCTTTAACTAAAAGCATTATAGGAAACCATATATGTTCAGAATTTCAATGAGTTAACAATATGCAAGTTTATGCACACACATGAAATTATTTAACCACTTGAATTTCACTATTACCTGAAGAAGTCACAAAGCTGTAAAGTAAATCTTTAAAATCTATGTAGTGAAGAATGCTGTCACTGTGCAGAGAAGCTGCCTCCTTCATTTAAATTGGCATGAATAAAAATGCCCAGCAATAATAATTAACATACCAAATATTTCACTACTAATAGGCATATTCATTAACATGTCTCTTCTTCAGACTGTTTTAGTATTTTCTATTGAACACGAATAACACAGAAACAAATCTGCACAGACTCCAAGAATCCATCTTCAGTTGTGTTCAAGCTTGATTTCGTTCTACAGCCCCCAAAATTTTGCAAGACAGTAAAACACCTCAATCCATGTTTACCCATAATATCTTTAACAGGCGACTTTGAACTTGCTCAAGCTGAATAACCATTTTAGTGTGCTACATGGAGTGTCATCACATTTTCTCCCCTGAAACTTGCTGCTTTCCCATGGCCATCAATAACTGCATTTTTCATAAACTGAGTCTTTCAGTCTTTAATCATGCCGATAATAATATCATGACTGAGAGTTTTAAGGGATGTGGGTGCTACTCTTTGTTATTTCAAACCTCAGCATAATTTAAGTAAGAACTGGTTCAAACAATCCTGGGGTTGTCCATATTGCAGGACTACAGTCATCCAAGGAACTTCAGAGATCATAAAGGAACACGCCTAGCAAATAAGCATGCTTCAATGTTAAGTGGCCATTAAGTTCTTCAATCTCAATTTTGGATGAAGACATCCACAGCAGGACACAAGTAGCCTATGGACACAATGATCTTTTAAAGATATGGTCCTAACATGATGCTGTCTTTTCCATTTGAATGCATACTAGGTGGTTCCCTGCTTTATTCTAACTGTAAGTGATTATTCCTGCTTTGACTAAGTCTTCAAACAGTTTAAACATCATCCATCACTTGACGTCAGACGACAGTTCAAATTTCTCTCCCAAGTCCTGGCTAATACAGTTTTTAAATCATTATAGAACAATTGGATGCTATGACTCCATTTTGGAACAAGGGTTTATGATCTGTGCCTGCTCAAAGACTCCAGTGAAAGCAATCACCCCAAAGACTGTGAAATAAATACAACAGTAATTTGAATGTCTAAGCCATCTAAGTAAATTTAATCTCCCAAAATATCACAACTGAAAAGAATACTATTACTCCACCCCTTTTCCTGTTCAAGTCTTCACCATTAGTGCCCAAGAGAAGGATGAAGATTTAAGACACAAGGTTGTAGAAGCTGGGGATGGCAAGAAAATTATTCAGTGAAGTGTTAATTAGATGGAGGAAAGTAAGGGAAGAATAAAAAAAAGTAAATGGGCGGAACAGCTTGGGGTCCCCCAGAGATCATGAGACTGGAATAAGAAAGATGCAAAAAAGAGAAGAAATAAAAAAAATTGTGCCAATTTGTTTTGGGCTTACTTGAATAAATCATCCAAAAAATGTCAGAAAAGATACAGGGAAGACTAAAAATTGTTTTTCATTTACTATGGAAATGAGGTTAATCAAATCTTCAGCCTCTCAAAATATTTTAGAAAGGACTTCTATGCTATGACTTTAATAGCTATAATCCACACTTGCCTCCAAATAACATCATAGACAGGATCCAGACACACACCAGAACCTTGAAGGTCTTCCTGCTCAGAATCATTGAATGTTTTGCAACTGCCATCTACTTTGTTTATCAGAAGACATTTAAAAGGTGGAGGTTCTGATATTGAAGCTGGTACCAAACCTAGATCAGGGAGCAAGAAGAACAGAAAAACATGAAGACTCCACTCATTACGTGGCATTTTCTATGCATGAAGCATTAATGTAGCAGGGAAGAACACATACTGCTACAGCAAAAAACAAACCATCGTAAGATTTAAGTGCAAGAAAAGTTTAAACTTCTACATTCTTATTTTTACTAAAATTAATTTCTAAAGCAGCTAGGATCTCCACATGCAGTATAACTAGAAAGTCAAAATATTTTAATTTCCCTCCATTCAAATTTTTGACTTGTTGCTCCTCTATTGTTCACATGACCAAAGCTATTTTTTCTCCAATATTCTATAAGCATTTAAAAATCTATTATAGAAGAGTTCTATACTATAGAAAAGTTCTTGCCTATTATATGCCTGCTTGCAAAGATCTCTGATGTAGCAAGCACATGAGAATTAATGAGAGCTTCGTCAATCCGGAGAAAAGTCTGGTCTCCACTTGCTCCAATCCACGTTGCTTTGCGTCCATATTTAGAGCCTATATTAGGCATAGGTGCTGGTTTTGCATTCCAGTAGGGCATATCCAGAATTGGTCTACCAAGCTGACCTTTCTATAGAGAGAATGCAAGAATTAGTAAGCTAACAGTAACAATAGGTCTCAAAGATGAACAAGTTACTTCCATAGTTTCCACATACAAAATTCGTAATCTGGAAGAGATAGCTTACCATAAAATTACCTTAAAAAAGCAATGGCTACTCTAAGTCAAGTGTTACACATTTAAATACAAGCAGCAAGTTATTGACAGATTTTCTCCTCCCTATTCAGCTAGGTTCTTGAGCGAACTTCTTTTTTTAATGCAACTCAAACTCTCCATGATGGATAACCCTCCTTTCCCTCTTTAGAATCCAATATAAAAGTATTATTCTCCTTCAATATTCAACATAACTTCAATGTTAAACAAGGAATGAATTAATGGGGGAGGGGGAAACTCCCTATGTTCAGATACAGACAGCCTAAATTCCACTCATTTCTGAACTTACATGGACTGTAAGCCTTACAGAGCAAATATCTTTAAGAGTACCTAGAAATCACTTAGCACACCAAACAAGCTAAATGGAGCATAAAGTGCCTAAGCAAGCACCGCTGCATATGCTCATTAATATTCTGACCTAGAGATCTAGGGCCTTATCTCCTATGTACAACTAGTTACTGAGAGATGGACCAACGGTTATTAGACCGTACTTAAGTACGTAGTAAGAACTGCTGCAATAAACCTGTTCAGACTCCATCCACCTCACTCAGGCAAAGGAAATTCACTGCAGGTTAGCGAAGTCAAGGTAACTTTTTATTTAAAATGGTAAGGGAGAAGAAACACGCACACACAGCAAATACCCTGTGCCCACCATGTTACTCATCTCTCTTTCTACATAACACTGCACATAAGTAAACATAGTGAGGACATTTTCAAGAAACGTGCTTGCTTTTGGGCTTGCCTTGCCTTTATGAAGCTTTCAACAAACTTTCAAGTATTACAACATTAAAACCAGACACAGGTGGTCTAAATACGGTCTAAATTAATTTTTAATTTTAGAAAAGAAAAAACCTCAGTCAACAGACAGGCTTTTAAACCCTGTTTCTGAGAACGAATCTGGTTTTTCAGGGCCTAAGTTTCACTGCAAGTGAACAAAGCTTAAACTTTTGTATGTCCAAGTCACTTCTGACAAAAACGTGGACACCAAAGCTCTTAATCAAAGTCTGAAAAACAACAAAATATTACATTATTAAAGAGGCATCTTGTGGCACACTTTTAATTCAAAACGTGATTTTCCACTTCTAAAATTTCAGTCTTCATCTTTTTTCAATTTTTTTTGTAAAAAGACAGATTTCAAAAGGTGCAATTTCTCTCCTGTTGTTTGGCAGTACATAGTTTTTAAAGTATATAAAACATAGCTCAATACCTATACTCTAGCTTTTGCCAAAAGGACATTAGTGAGAAAGTACAAACAACATATGACTCTAGAGAGCTTGCAGTCAAGGGAGGGTATTTGCAAAGACAAGGAGGCACAAAGGCCTAAACTCAGGATGAAGGGGAACTAAAAAATGCCGAACTGCTTATTCAGTGATGGATTCCACATGGCCAAAGGAGAATATACGCCACGCGGACATGAAAGCAGAGTACCAGAGCTATGCTGTGTTACACTAAGCAATAATCGCCCCTCAAGTGCAAGCATAACTTCTGCAACTCATTGCTGTTTCTGTGAGAGAAAACAGGACACTTATTTTTTCTAACAAATGCAGACAGACAGGTAATAGAATATGCAATAGATACTTGCTTGCAACAGTACCAGTTTGAGAAAACTGCTGCACCTCATAAAATAACCCAGTTTTAAATCACCATCTTCATTAGAATACAAAAACCACCAAGAATTTCTGGCATCATGCTTTTCTAGCCATAACAATATTAGAGGCTGCATTTTTAAACACAACAGACATGAATGACATGTAGAAGTTACGAGCAGTTGTGCAAGAGCAAATGTAAGCAGTTTTGAAAGGTCTCTGAACAACACTTTAACTACTAGCTTATTCCCATAAGTAAATATTATTTCCTTACTGAGAAACTTCCAAATGTGAAAACCTGGCCATCCATTAAGAGAATAGCTGTATGGTTGCTCCCAGCAGTAACTTGTGTACTAGGACCTGGTAACGCTTGCACCAAAGTGGGACATCCCCTGTATCAAAATAAATTAATTTTTTATCAATATATGCTTATGCAACATTTGACACATACATTAGTATTATAAGGATTTCAATCACTGTGAAATATATTCATTATGTTCACATCCTATACAGAATTAGAGTCAAGCAACATCTTATTAAATGAACAGAGGCTTGAAAGACTGTACTGGATAATTAAGTTTATGCCCTCTTCTTACAGGGAACCAGATCAAGTACCGTCTCTTCAGTTCAACTCTAAAATTAGACCAGAATAAAAATGGTTGATTTAACGCATAACTGTAGGATTACATTAATGTCACTGTAGCTATACTAATATATATATATGTGTGTGTATACACATACGTGTATAAAATGCACTGCAATGAACTGTAGAAGTAAAAAGATTCTATTGTGAGGACGCTGGTTAAGCGCTTAAAAAACCTTTCTGCATTACGAAGCAACCAAAGTCTTACATGATTGGTACTCTAGTACAATTGCCAGAGGTAATATTGATATGGCCCTGACATCACTATCTAGGGAATTATAAAAGAAAGCAAAGGCCTACCCACCTCCAACAGCTTTCTAATAGAGAACAAAGCATTAAAAAAACTGCTTTCCATCAAACTCCTAGGCTCAAGAAAGAACGAACCTCTCCAAACTTTTCCAGAAAGAGCTGAAAAAGTCTAATCCACGTGCCTCCCAAATATGGACAGATATAAGGAAATAAATTTCCCATTCTAGTAAAAATGAAGAAAAAATATACCCCAATAGGATGACCAAGAAGCAAAGAAAGAAAACTTTAAGAGATGACTTCGAATAGAAATAGCAGGAAAAGATAGACAGAAAGACAGAAAGAAGTATGAGATGCTAAATCTAAAATTTTTATCTCCATCCCAACAAAGTAAATAGGAGCCTTTAAGAACTGTACCAAAATTTTAACCCCATAATGAATGCCTGCCTAGACCTGAAACTTACTGTGGACTTAGAAAGACTGTGAATTTGAAGAACAAGTTATTCCCAGATAACTCTGTTTGGAAACTCTGACCCCAGAAAACAGCAGCACTATTTAAACGCACACTTTTAAAAGTAGGTTAGTCCAAAATAAGAACAAGCTGTCTTAAACTGAAGTAAGAAACAAAGGGGTCAGCTCGTGGTTACCTAGCAATTGTTTAGCAGCTGAAGTGCAAAAAGATGGGTTATCTGCATGTTCTGATTTTGACTGAACTGCAGGGAAAACAAAAGTCAAGAAAGAAGGAAAGGCACGAAGGAGGGGGAACACAGGTATACAAAGAGAAATCATTCCTTGACGGTGAATGCAGCTTCCAGTAGGTGATTCTAGTAGACTGAAGGGCAGCATAAAATTTGGTAGAGGATTCCCAACATGACATTCATAAATTTAGAAGCCTTTGTGGGTCTATAGGCACATGGGTTTGGACATCAGTAAGATTACATGCAGACACACAGCGCAAATTTTAGCAGCACCAGAAGAAACATTATATTTGTCTCCCATTAACTTAAACGAAGTTCAAAAAAGCACTGAAGTAGAAACAAAACATAGTTAAGAACGAATCCAAAAGCATTCTGTTAAAATGAAGTATTTTTATTAAAGGTTTTTTTTCTCTCCCTCAAAATTATGATAGCTGCAGGCATGGAATTACCAATCCTATGCTTGTAATTAAAAAAAAGTGAACATTTCATTTCTTTGATGCATAAAAGCTAAGCTGTTACCACCAAAACTATTTATCTTTCTGTTTTGCCAACTGAATCTATCTGTAATGTTATCTGAATGCTGTGTATGATATCCCCTTGGCAGCAACAGAACAAAACCAGACAAGCAACTAATGCAGAGAGCTGTAATATGTTATCTTATTAAACAGCTTTTTTATTAGTATCACCCAGCTTTTTGGAATGGCCAACTACAGTGTACCAACTAAAGAAATGAACAGCAAAAAGCTTAAGACACTTCACTACACCAAAAAAATAAAGTAAAATTCCAGAAAAATAGTTTTCACTTCAAAAAAGGATGAGAGATTTGCAAAAATACAGTAAGCCAGTTTCACTGATGTATATGGAATTTAAAACCTGTGATACTGTTCGGTATTTCCCTATCCCTCTGAAACTCAGAAAAGCTCAGCATAGGCACTGAAGAGTCTGAGAGACTCTTTGGACAAAGTTTTTATAACCAGGGTTTATCCATTTGAATGGGAGAAAGCAAGAAGTATACTTCTGAGATGGAGCTGAAGAACACATTGGTGTTAAACTCACAGGTTCTTTGGCTTCTGGATACGACATAGGTACTTGACATAGGTCAATCACAAAAGACCAGCCTCAATTTTACAGAAAGTAACCTGAGACTCCTTGTGAAAATGTAAGATTGCTGAATGAAAAGCAGCAGATCTACACGCATCAACTAACTCTGGATCCTGCAGAAGGTCCAAATGCGTTTTGGCTGTCCACACCGAAACCCTCTTCCATCCCGAAGAGTAAGCACTTCTGGGAGCAGATGCGGTCTTTGCAAACTCGTCCCGCCCTAACCGTTCGACCAATCGCTGTCCATGGTACTGATCCAGGCGAGGGCAAGCTGCCGGGCATGGCAAGGCGGCCCTTGGGGCAGCTGGCCACCGTGCTGTAAATCCAGGTTCACCGCGGGCTGCTACAGTGGAGCGGGTCAGTGGAAACCAGCAGTAACTCCTGTCACTTGCAGCAGAGTACGGAGTTAAAACGAAAATGGAGATTTTTAGACTTTAGAGGGAACTGGAAGTTTGGTGAAGAGATGTAAATAAGGCCTGCACTCCACTGCTCAAGCAAAATAATCAGACAACCGCACCTAAAAGTACGGTCCTATCAAATAGTGATGCTGGAACATATTTTTTTTTTCTAGAAATATCAACAGGATATAGTCTCTACACTTTGTCTTCAAATAGAACATAGCGGACTGCCCACGGAAGGTCTGCTGAGTTTTCTTCCATGTTACTGTTGAATCTTTGGAAGCAAAGTCACATCAGGATTGTCTTACTTCAGACGTTCCATTTCTGGAGCTTGATGGCCAGATCATGTGGTTGCTAACAGTGCTGAAGTCAACAGTTTGTACAAGAAACGCAGGCAAATGTTGAACAATAACAGAAAGTTCCTGGAGTTGTAAGTCCCAGCTTCTTGACAGAAGAATCAGCAAAGAGGCCTTTGTTTACCTGAATACAAGACATTCCACTTTTCACCAAGACTAGATACTGCAAAGCATTTCTTGCTTCCACCGAGTTTCTATCCACCAGCATCTAATTTGAGGAGAATATTAGCAGAGACTGACAAATCCTTCACACAGTGAATAGCTCATCAACATCTGCCACTGTGGATTTTGTAACAGAAAGTTTACACAGAGTAGTTTGATGGCTCCAGCATACTGATATTGAAGAAATGGCCTCCCAGGAACCAGATCACTTGCATTTTGTAAGTGGTCCACCTGTGAACAGCTAAAGGCTTTGCTGGAGAAAGAACTACCACCACTTTGTGCAAATTGCTTGTTCCTCCACACCATTTCAGTTCTATTAATGGTTTATTGAGAATCGCATCGTTCTGTTCATCTGCTGTTTTGTCTGCTTGCGTTCATAATAGTCTGAAGCCTTTCTAGGGCATGTAATCTGCCTCACTCCTACTGAGGTAAGAGAATGTAGTGTTTACCAGTACTCTAACAATTAAGGAGAAAGATGAGTGGACAGGTGTGCACAATTCAAAATAGCTAAGCATTTTCAAGACATCTTAAAATGTAGTCTCACTACTAAATCTTTACACTGCAAGACAGAAATGTCTGAAAGGATAAGTCATCCTGCCCAGGAACTTCTTTCACTGCTTCACCCGGCAATGAAGATAGCTCCCTCAGATGAACATGAGAGCTCCTGCATTTTCCCTGACAGTTCTTGTTTTCAGGGGCCTCTGTATTCAGACATACTAGCTAGGCTGCCTAAATATTACTTCGGTGTTTTTTTCTCCCCTCTGTCTCTCCTGGAAACACAGTAGAGTACCAGTTCCTGGATTCAGAAGACGATGGTCTTCTGAGGTCAATATAGGCAATGCGACACACTGCATGAGTGACATACCACTGACCTGGCTGGAGCTGGCCATCTGAGCACCACTGCGTCCCAACTGAGGTGGAACTCTGCATAAGGATTCCCTGTTTCCTTCTCTGAATCCCTTACTGTGAGGACAGAGGAGAGATCTCTACTTAAAGCTGGAAAAAGAAGTACATCAATGAGGAAATTATCATGTGAATGATGGTGCTAAACAGCAACACAGTACTATAGCCAGTTCTCATGCACAGGACATACTCCAAATTTCTTCAAGGCTTTATTCAGACGCTTGTAAGGGTCTGTTGTAGAATGATACAACGGTCAGTGCCAAGTTGCTTGTATCTCCTCAGCTTCGAGGCCTGGTCAAGTAAAATCCTTTGACACAGGATGTTTCACATTCTCTTCTAGGATCTCACTTGGTACTACATTTGGTCTCCATCCAGTTTCTGACTAAATAAGCAACAGATGTGAGGTTTACTGCCTGAAATTCTGACAGATACAGCAGATAGCTCTCATGCCTTCAAAAAAGCCAAGTGACTTCATCAAAGTTGGAAACAGGAGACAGTAAGATATGAGTACAAATGCTACTGCTGTTTGTATCTCTTCATTCTTTAAGACAGAAACTTGCCTTATTCTAGTAATGACTTGAATCACCAGCTAAAGCAGTTGTAGCTTGGAACAAGTATCCAAGATTTCCAGGAATGAAAAACAGAGTACTCATCTGTGATATGGCTCTACCATAGGCATTCACAGACTGCATTCATTAGTCCAATTCAAACTGAGTAGGGTAACAGTTAAGAGAGTACCATTAGGCACAGTGGTCAATACTAATTAACACTTCCAGTAAACTTACTTCCTTCCTTCCTTCCCTCTCCCCCTTTGGTTTAATGAATCCAATGAAAGTTTTAAGATAATGAAGATCTCTTCAGAAACTTGAGAAAAGAAATGATTTGGAAGTCTCCAAAAAGATTAGGAGGATAGATGTTCAGTAATTTTCATCTTACTGCCACAAGAGAAATGACAGAACTGAAGACAGTGGACGCTCCACTCTGCATGCCTTTTATGTAAGGATACTGGACATACACAAAGCCTCAGTGTTTCCTACCATTCAAAATCCCATCCTATGTGTTCTATAGTATATACACATGCCCAAAGAACAACATTATTACATTTCCTTTCACGGCAGGACACCGATTTCTTACTTTGGTGAGTAGATAACATACTAAGGATGAGATACTAAGGGTGAGATTGAGCTTCACATTAAAGACACCCATATTTAATTATCCATGCTCTCACTGTAGTCAATGGAGATCAAGTACATAAAATTCAGAGAGCTACTGAACATACCTAAATTAGGTTAGTGGGTGGTTAGTCAGCTGAGACCCAAGCTTAGTGATGTAGTTTTGGAGATTAATAATAAACAATTATAAACAATTTCCTGGTCTAGTGAAAGGTGTCCTCGCCCATGGCAGGAGGCGTGGAACTAGATCACCTTTAAGCTCCTTTCCAATCCAAACCATTCTATGATTCCGTGAAAAATGAAATTTTATCGTAACTGAACTACTGTCAGTGGTATAACAGAAACAAGTTAATCCACGTTTACAACATCATACTATCTGAATTATTGCATATGTAGTATTTTACAAAAATAATGAAATCCTAATGAGATTTCAATGTCATTCTCTCACATATGTATGGAGAATTGAAGAGACAGAATCATTTCAAACTCAATTATCAAAGCTATGCTAGTAACTATGCATAGAAGCCTTCATGTATTAAACAAATTACTTACACAGTACAATAGTACCGTTACTGTATCTACATCCAGGGGGCTACAGGGAATAAGTGCAGAACAAAAACTTGTCAACTTTATTTGGACATTATTTGAGTTTTCAATACTTGCTAGCTACAGAGAAATTTAGCCACTTTATATGCAGCAACACAGCAATACACAAGCACATCCTTTAATTACCATCTCACCTGGAATTAACATCACCATGTCCAAGTTGCCCATGCTGTCCGTATCCAAATGTGTAAACATCACCATTCTCCATCAAAACCACTGAAAAACAAACAAACAAGCAGAATATTTGTCTTACATATGCACATGTTAATGTGGTACTGCACCAGCACTGGTTAGCCTTTCTGAGCAGCACAGTTAACGATCCCTGCTGAAACACTAAGAGATCTATACCAGATTCCACAAGACATCACAGCAAGCATCTTTATGCAGGGCTAGACCAGTGCCATGCAGATGTTTTCAAACGACTCAAAAATTGCTTAAAAGTTCTGGTGTAACTCAATATATGATTCTTATAGTCCTTTTTACTGTTGAAGGACAGTGTATAGGCTACAAAATGATACTGTAACCTTTTCAATCTTTAACACTCCATTTACATCCTTACTGAAAATTAAACACAAAGCAGTGAAAACACGTATTTAAAAAAAAATAAACAAAAATTCTATGTTATAATTAACATCGATTACCTGAATGGTGAAATCCACAGCTGACTTGTACGGCTCGCAGCTCACAGTCAAAGCGGACAGCCCCTGGGGGATAGGTTGTGATTTTGCTGGCATCCTTCTCACCTCTTTCTCCACTTCCATCTATAAACAAAACTTATAATTACATCCCATGTCTTCTAATAGAGTTACATTAGAAAAATGATTAGAATATGAATAGCAAATAACTCCCCACCCCGCCATTTCTGAGGTAGGAGAAAGAACTCACAGAACAGCAAGAGAGACAGCTCAAAATGTGGCATCAAAGGAGATGCGAAAGATGACAGAAACTCTGTTTCTAAACAACCTACTACAAAGCCACCCAGTGGAAAATATCACACCCTCTAAAGCAGAAACTTCCAAAGAGCACACAAAAATGACCAGAAAAACAGGAAACTCAAACAACTTCAGAAGTTTTGCTTAATAACCACCACTTTCATTCTTCAATAAAATAGCGTTATGAAGTAGAGAGAAAGCACTGTAGTTAATTCAATAGGCATAGTTCGGTCTGGGTTTTTTTCAATTACTACTTGTCAAGGATTTTACACGGCTACAATCTGGCCACATAGCTCTTGTTTTACATAACTAACAATCACTTACACAGCGCACTTCTAACAATGCCAACATAGTCACTACCAGCATGTTTGTTTCCTGTCCATTTAAGACGCATTTTTAGATACTGTTTCTGCAATTTCTTTTCGGAACCAATAATGCACTTCATACTTTACTAAAGACAAACCACCCTCATATCAGATAAAAGCACTGAAGTGACAAAGAAGTGTATTATTTATAAACTTCTTGAAAGCCACTATTTTCTCCAGAAATCAGAATGTTTCTGTCATCTAACACTTAGCTATAAAATTCAACTATATGGTCACAGGGTCACAAAGGAAAGCAGTTTCATAACACAAGCAAGAAAACCACCACGACAGAGAAACAGACAAGATGCTCATCACCATTAAAACACCTGTACCTGTGTACAAAGTAGGCAATGCAAGCTCTCAAGAAAGTGCATTTTCACAACAAAAAATTTCATGTGTGTCTTTAGTCACAGTGTCTCTAGCATAGAGAAATTAGAGACAATACATGAAGTGAAAAATAACTGCACAAAGGAGATTCCAGATTCTTTCTGTGGTAATTCAGACTGGTTACTGCTTTATTAACAAAAATGAGTCAAGGAAACAATTGCTGCTCAGAGCGTTCAAAGTACTGTTAATTTAGATCTCTATTTATAATTTCTACATGTTTTCCTGCATAATCATTAGTGGAAGTTTGAACCCTGAGACTTCACTATTCACTGTGTGCAGCACAGCACTTACAGACTTAGAAATCTTTTAAAATATAATTCTGTATTTCTACATCTTGCTCAAACTGTCTTTCCTCTTTCTTGGATGGAAACTGTTGATACAGGAAAGTAATTTCAGCACTTCTATTACAAAACAGATTTTTAAAATCTTACTGTTCTGTAAATAAAGCTATTTTCCAGTGACAACTGAGTACCAAAATTACACGAATCTCCATGTAGTTGACATCTGTAAACAAAGAGTTTATATATAGGTCTTAAGCAATGCTTTTGAAGAATTACGTTTAATAGCATAAGTAAAGTATCCCTTTGAAAATGTGGGTACCCTTCATCAAAACAATTACACTTGCAGTACATGTTGGATATGTGTGAAATGGAGACATGGTAAAGGAATTAACTGGGTCTCAGAATTGCCATGGGATTTCTGAGGTTTTTCCAACAGCATCAATTGTGCACTACCAGACGGCATGCACATTACAAGAAATCTTTTTGAAGGTCTGCCTGCAGCTTTTTTTGTTTTAACAACGAAAGCAAATACAAAGAGACCACTGTTTAACAACAAAAAGCCCTGAAAATACAGAATTTTTCCTCCTAGTCATGTAATTGTCTTAACACCCTTCTAGTATTTTAGTTAACAAATTGGCTATTTCTCAAATACAGTACCTTTGAACTTTTTATGTTTACTTTTGCATTAAACTCTACTTGCCAACATAATCATGACATGGTTTTAAGGGTTAATATTACTACCAGAATTATTTATTCAGCAAACAGCCAACTTACTGCTTCCCTCTTTCACACAAGCTTTTTGGACAGCAACGCAAAACAGCCAGTTGTTCTGGAAGCCTGCCTGCGGCCCATCTCCCCTCCTCCCCTCCATCACTGATGACTGCAATGAAAAATGTAAGCTCTCCTACTGCGCAAATGCACTTGAACAGTGGTCTGCCAGGAATGCACATGTCCAATAAGTATGCATCATGGCTGCATGCACTTCCCACAACGAAACAAGCCAGACACACAGCTGCCAGGTCACCTATGCACAGTCATTTAGCAGAAGTATTCTGGTCACGTAACAGTGGCACATCAAGTGACCTGCAGACATCTGAACAGCTATGTGTGCATTTCCTGCCTCATCGCAAGAAAAACATACTGCTCTTAAGTGCTTCAACAACTACTAGTAAATAGTGGAGGACTGCTGTTTTCTCAAATGATAAATGTGACACAACCTTTAAATAAAAGATGATTCTAGATATATTCCCATTTTTCCAAAGCTGCTAATGAAAACATAACACCATACTACCCTTAACGAAACACTGAATATTACTGTGCAAGATGTAGAGACGAGTACACTCACATTAAACAAATTTTGCAACTCCTTATCCTAGAAATAAAACTATTTTCAAGGAAAAAGTTCGCATTTTCAAATTGCAAAGCTACCTTCTCAAAGCCTTTAAGAATGCAGGAATGGAAACAACTGTCTTCCACACGTATCTTACTTAAGCATGAAATTTGCAAACTGAAAATGCAACTCAGCCTTCTCTGTGTGATTACTGTCTCACAGTTTTGAATCGGCTGGATCTTCAGAACTTGATAAGCACTCTAAAATAATTTATATGTGCTAAGTACACATCCCTTATCACCAAAAAAAGTAAGAATCAGCAAGCCATGTTTAGGGGAAAAAAAGTCTTTTGACTAAAACATACAAAACTAAATAAACAATCACTGCTTACTTTTAGAGCAATACTTTCAGGATATACTGTTTATCTGTATACTCCATTGCATGTCATTTTTCTAGCAGCACTGTCCAGGAGAATCAAGATCTACAGGCTCTTACACTTAGAGGTAAGACTGCAAATAAACTTGGTCATCCCCTTTCGTTGCAGTACTTTCACAGAGTCAAATTTTTTTTAGATATGTGAGTGAAAGGTGGATGCGGAAAGCTTATTTACATGTGTCTAGAGGAACAATAACTATGGAGATACACGCTTGCTTTTCTTCAGTGGTGCACATACTCATTTCTGTAGAAGTAATATCAAAAAAAATGTTCCTAAAAGGGAACCATAGAAAGACTATTGAAGCAGAGACTCTTCTGGTTCAATGAATGGAACCTTATAAGCAGAGCAAGTTAGTACTTCCAGTGTCAGCCAACCAGACTATCACCGAACAGAAACACTGACTCTTTCCATTTCTGAGAGAAAGCACCAAGGAAAAGCTCCAAACTGCTTCCTGCTCTCAACACTGAGGGGTGGGCTCCACGAACAGCTTCACAATGATGGTTTTTCATCTTGGCTATCTTAAACAGTTGGGGAAGAAAAGTGAGATAACTGGAAATATAACCAACCAATCCACCCCCATCACGCCATTTTCCTTAGAAAATTCTTAACTCCTCAAGACAGTTTTTATCCCTGTGAAATCTGCTCAAAAGTTATCTTGACTGATATTGCTGGCACAAAAAAAAAGCTGCTTCCCAGGAACAAAGAAAAAGCTCATTCAGTCCCAGCAGCAAGTGAAGTCAAAGCCATAAATGAGTGTTCTGCTGGAAAAAAAACCCCAAACCGCTCAACACTGTTACAGAATGGCATCTCAGATCCTCGGTTCAGAACCGAGGAAAAACACTTTGTTAGTGTTCCCCAGCTGCAGTTGGGATGATGTTACTTCATTTCTCACTGACCATCTTTGGAAGAGGGAAAAAGCGCTCGTAAAGACGTTAAATGTGTTTCTTCTCCCCACAGATGAAAAACTTTAATGCATGTGACCACAGACAAAAAAATTCTTAGAATAATTGTCTCTTCAGACCACCACATTTGCCAACAAATATTTGTTC